GAACGGGATATTCAATCTAGATTCTCGCGAAATGTGACTCTCGACGAGAAAGTCTTTTTCAAATCTGAACGAAACGACACGGTCGCTCTCGATGTGTCGATAATAGTGTCATCGATCTATTCTCGTTTTTACATCTGGCTACCAGAGAAACGTTAGTAGAAAGAAAGCAAAGAAGTATGGTGAAAGTTAAGACGTTAAATTGAATCGTTGGATGGTCGATCTGTCGAGTATCCTTAAAATCAACGTAGTCTTTCGAACGTGTCTAGTTATTTTTTATAGAAACACCGTAGTCAAAGCATGAAAGAGGCTAGTTAGGATCGAATCATAGTCACTAATTTAATGCAGTGAAATTTGAAAGAGAAACCAAAAATAGAAGTATATTACAGAGTGTATCGAGAGCTCGGAATGCATAGGATGAAAACGAATGAAAAATCTGTAAAACTCAAAACGCGGTGGTTATAGATTTCGTTAGTAATATAATGGACACATTTGCCGGTTAAAAAGTGAAAAAATAAATCGATGAAACCTTAGCATGCTATCAATAGCAAAAATAACGCGATGGGTGCATTAAGTCTGCGACCAGGACACGTGACTCGTTCAGTAATAGCGGCAAGGCTATCGAAGCCGAGAATGAAGCGTTAAAAAATCACGAATCGAAGTGTCGATAACTAAATTGAACGCAAATAAAAAGCGCTTTTATCACTTACATTTTAATAACGTATTTGAAAGGAAAGAAAATCTCATCCCTTCGCGCAAACTTACGTTTCCATTTTTAAAGAATCCAACGGTAGTTTAACCAAACGAAGGATTTATTTGTTGCCTGCAAGTATCACGAATCAGTTAGGATAAAATCTTGGCACGATATCTCCGAGCAGTACGATTACCATCATGGTTCGATGGGCTCTTTCTACGCATGGAAGTAAATAATTAAGTCGATCGCGCGGGTCATCGTGTCACTCGATACCGAGCATAAGCGGAGCGCTGCATCGAATCCCCCGAATGCCATTACCTACGTGCCACGACCTAGATCTACATACGCACTGCCCACCAGTGCACTGGGACGTGTGAACGCATTTGCTACAAGTAGAAAAAAAGTTCCTTTATTTGATTTTATCACAGAAAATAGGGGTGATTATGCATCTTTGGTTTTTACAGGGTCATCTGTTTTAACGTTTCTGAATGACCTTGGTGGGAAGGTTCGCGTTTATAGGAACTTTATGGGAAGTAGATTGAGTACGTTACGAAAGAGTCTGTATATAAAATGTAGAGTGTGAATAAAGCTTAAAAGCGTAAAGAAGAGAAGGCTGTAAGGTGTATACGGGGCCGGTGTATCCACGATGGTCGTGGCTCGCTTGACGTCACTGAGCAAAATGGCGGCCGTGGTGACGTCACCGGGAGGGGGGACCCCCTCTGCCGAGGTGGCTCCGCAACGTCGGTCGACGATAGCCTCGATATCGTACGGATGCCAGAGAATCGTAGGAGGGTTTTAGGGTGTCGGAAGGGTCGGACGGGTCGGACGGGTGGGCGCCGCGCCGCGCCGTGACGCTAGCTGATTTTTGGCAGGATCCTTTCGAGCATTCAGAGGGCGACGTTAGCCGGCTTTTCGGGTAACGATCGCGGCTTCTACTAGCTGACGCCACTCCTCGTCCTCGTACACGCGTTATGGAGTCTGCTTTTCGACCTGGAACCGCTGGACCGGTTGGTCCAGCTTCGAGGAATTGGGTGACGATGGTTTGACCGATGTTGTTTCTTGGATTTCTTCGATCGATCCATTGTCATTTGTCCACGTGGTAGGGAAAAGTAGGGACACGAGTCGGATGCATCATAGCACAATCACTCTGTAGGCTTATTTCCTATATACACCCACAGCCAAGAAATTTGGAAACATATTTGAATTGTTTTAAAAAATAATTAAAAATGTACTATAAGTGATTCTTATGCAATGCAGTTGAATTATTTATTTAAAAAATCTCTTTGTTTCCAAACTTCTTGGCGGTATTGTTGCTGAACAATAGCATAATGATCGTGATTGAAGAAAAAATTGACTTGTTGGTTGTGAGAGAGCCCTTATTGTTGCGCACGTGGAGCAGAGCGGCGATTGGACTGAGCACCTTGAATCCCTGCGATCCAGGGCGGTGGTAGCGGCTTGGTTCACTCGAGCTACGATCCTTAGCTGGCCGCCAATTCGACCCTCCTCCCTTCTTTTTTCCCTCTGCCCTTTCTTCCGCTCGAATCTCTTCCTCTCGACCGTTCTGTCGGCTGAACGTTAACTTCTATTCGTGGCGCGTGGGCCGTGCTTCAAGGATGAATCGGTGCTGGAGCACTGTATATTTAGCCGTACGTTGCCTCCCTACCATGTTCCATACGTCAGGGCTGGCCAATTCCCGCCCTCCCAGCAGGGAAGTTGTCCGAATACTTGGACAGCACTGTAGGTAGCTTCGTTAGAGGGTAGAGTCTAAGTTATCTTGAAAATTTCAGTCACCATGATGCCTATCGCGCTTCGACGTTGAATTTGAAGGATATTTTTCTTTTCTTTTTTTTTTTTTTTTCGAGAAACTTAGGAATAAAAGAGTCGAGTGTCGGTGGCTGACTAAACGACTTCTGAAAGGGTTAACGCGAGAATCATGCAGACCGATACAAGAATTTTCAAGGGGATCCGTCCGAGCGCCGCGTGTCACGTCTTTCATATTGATTTCCCGAAAGATATTAATAACTCTTGAGAAGTATCGTCGATAACTGATGAGCCATAATAAACTTTTAAGTGTCGTCCCAGTTGCTGCGAATAGACACTAATCTCTATGCTCCTCGACGCTGAAAGATTTCTCTATCAGCTGGTATGCGGAGCGAAACGATCGAAAATCGGTATCCTCTCTGTTGCCTCTCTTCGTGTTACTCCTGAACACTTTAAAAAGGGATAAAACTTGAAATTCTAAGAACCTATTTTCTCTTAACAAACTACTTTTCATTAAAAAAATTGCAATCTCTATAAACTTCATCATTAAGAACGAATTATCGATTCTTCTTCTTTTTTTTTTTTTTTCTTTTCATGGTATTGTTCAGTAGTCAGAAAGTGAAAAGGCATCTCTTTCAACACGATAGAATAAACTGAAACCGAACCATCAATTCATGAAACGTTTCAATTAGATCGGATTTTGGTAACGGCATTAGTCTGACCATTAGCCGACCTATTCTACTGAACTCTGATCCGTCGCGAGCACTTTCAATAAACAAGATTCCGAGCTTTTCACGAACTCGAACGTTTGTAAACGAGACTATGAAACGGACGATTTTTTGGTTTGTTGTTCGTATTAACCATTATGTATTATGAATAACAGGAGTTCTACATACATTTATGGTTATCGTTTGATAATCATCAGGACACCATTCTTTCTTCTTCCTCCTCTAAATCATTCTTTCATTTCGATGCTTGATAACAGATAACGATCGAAAGGGTGAAATTCCGAAACTTTTTGTACCGTATATAATCAGCAATTGGTTGCACTTGTTGCTGTCGTAATAATAACGAGGGAAACGACGAGGGAAAAGTGGAATTAGGCAATCGTTTTTCCGGGGAATCGTTGAAAAGCAGTGTAGATTCATTTTCGAGAGTATTATCGATCTTTCCGTTACGAGGCAAGCTCTATCAATTATTCGAAGGCTCGATTTTAATAATTCAGAGACGCTCGGCTGGAGGCAGAAACGAACGGGCAATCTGGTACGAGGAGTTGCTTTCGATCCGACCGCGTTTCCTCGCGTTTAATGACTTTATATACCGTGTTGGAAGGGGTGTTTTAAATTCGTTTAGAAGCTAACGGATTGCATCGTGGCAACTTCTCCCCTTGAAATTGAACTGTCCGTCTGGTGTTGGGCGCATCTAATGGTATCTAGCATGCGTTGAGCTTTTATTTTTTGTTTTTTTTGTTTTATAACAGATTTGTAAGAGGAATTATGGGATATACATCATTGCTTGCAAGCTGTAAGAGCGATCGTTACATCGATAGTAACGTTGTTATCGTTATTACGACATCGTGGCTGACTGATAATGCCATGTTAATGCGTTTCGTATGTAGGAAGTATAGCGTGGGTGGTAAATTATCCTTGTCAACGGTAATGGACCTCGTATATGCGGTTAGGTATATTAAATTAAATCGTTATTAATTGGTCGAGTTACTCGCTTCTGGAGCTCCCAATTACCCTCGAAGATTTTGTAAAGTTGGAAAAGCAAAAGGAAGGTAGATGGAAAAATTCGACCAGCTATTTACTTGAGAAAATCCATCGAGTAATTCATTGTGCATTCTCAAGATTCAATAGTAGGCAAACTTGAAACGTCAATGATGTTGCTGTATGCATCGAATAAACGGGCCGAGTGTCTGTCTCCATTTGAATAAATCTCGGAATTAATATCTCTATCTGGCATAGCCGTAAAGAAACGGGGACACCATTTGAAGAAGCTGACTCTTTGCCATTACAAATCGTGTATCATTCGATTACTCTCGTTGTATCGGGGTAAAAAGGCATCGAGTCTCTGGCCTTCTCGAAAGAATTTAAAGAGTACTTTAGGCCAGGAAAATCATAAATGCAACTACGATCGATTCGGTAGGGAATCCTTTTCTTCTTTGTTAGTAATGGGTAATTGGTTTTATGCAACACCCTGTATACGTTTCGATAATCGAGGGGTCGCGGACATGCAGCAGCATGCAGGGATCCTTGTCACGAGTTATTGCATTACCGGCTACCTTGATTGCACTTTCCTACGAGGAAAGGCCGTGCATACAGGCGGGGGATCGTAACTTTGCAAAAGTCTCGGCTAATGCAGTTAATTAATCATAGCGACGCGTTACACGTTCAGCCATTAACGACCTCTCTCGCAGGACATTTCGAAACGTGGAGTTTCCCGAAGTCCGTGTCACTGCTGATTCGACGTTACGCTTGGCTATCTTTATTATCGCTTTGAATTTTCTCCAACAACTAACCAGCCTTGGTGTTCGTGTGCTTTCCAGGTTGGCAGCGCAAGAGGCGGCACAAAGGGACCCTGGATACGCGAGTCAGTACAGGAGAAGGCCGAGGTTGGCCGGACTGAGTGGTCTCGGTGACTGGACTAGCTTTGGAGGGGAGGTAAGAGCCAGCTCAGCTTGAAAAAGCTTCGTCTGAGATATTCGTTAATTGCGGCTTCTCCTCTTACCATGCCGCTCACCCTGTTCGCGAATTATTCTCCCTCGTTTTACCAGCTTCTTCCTTCTTGTTGCACCACCAGTCCCCTCGAAAAAGTATCTTCCTTTCGATATATGTAATTTAATTTAATTGATATTTAAATAAATAGTAGGGTGAAAGGAAAAAAAAAAATGTAAATGCAAACAGGTACCTGGTCTGGTGGACATGGCGCCAGGCCGGGATCAGGGCGGAGGGGCGGGTGGCGGTGGGGGAGGCGGCAAGGGCACCACCTCGTTGTTCATCCTGTCGGAGGATAACTGCATCAGGAAGCATACACGCTTCATAATCGAGTGGCCGCCCTTCGAGTACGCCGTCCTGCTCACCATCATCGCCAATTGCGTGGTCCTCGCCCTCGAGGAGCACCTGCCAAAGCAGGACAAGACCATACTCGCACAGAAGCTCGAGGCCACGGAAATCTACTTCCTCGGCATCTTCTGCGTCGAGGCGAGCCTCAAGATCCTCGCCCTTGGCTTCGTCCTCCACCGTGGCTCTTATCTGCGCAACATCTGGAACATCATGGATTTCTTCGTCGTGGTGACCGGGTGAGAGGACCATTTTCTATCTTATCTATATCGTGGTTCTTTTTCCTTTCTTCAAATATTACGTCTTTCGGGTTAACTTTAACCAACCGGTGATCCCTGTTTTCGGTATCATCAAATAAGAAATATGCTTTCTGCGTCTATAACGATTTTGTAACAGTGCTTATTTTTCGATAAAATACACCTAAAACTATTTCCAGTGATCGTCAACTTTCATACTTATTGTCAGTTCGAAATAGTATCACCCCTTGAAGTAGTACAGGTCACTATGTACGAGAATGAAAATTTGGTTAAAATTACGGACAACCGAAAACAGGGATACGCAAACGATTCGCGAGAAGTCATCACTGGTCATATCGTTTCACCCCTATACTCTCATTCATCGCGTGTTGTCACGGTCACGATTCAACCAAAATTCTCTCATTCCCTCCCTCGTTTTCTCCTCCGTACAAACGAACGACCGCATTCTTGCTCTTTCCACACTTTCTCTCTCTCTGTCTCTCTGTCTATCCTTTTTATTGACACTCTTGTCCACCTCGAAACACGGTGTTCGAGCGAAGCAGACAACACGGAGAGGAAAACAGTGGACGAGGAGAATGTTTCTTGGTCAGGCTCCCTAAAACGCGTTATCTCCGTACAAAAAAAAAAAACCGAACCAAACAGACCATAATCGCGATTAAGTGACCAATCTGTTTACGGAGAAAGCCTTTCTAAAATCGATATGTTCTTTGCATTTTCTTAAGAAGAAACAATGATTGATAGAAATAAAATAAATTGTCTGAACGAAGCATGAATGATAGAAAGGATCTTTCTCCATAAGCTTAAGATTTAAAGAAAGAAAAAAAAAAAAAAAAATACACGTCGATCGGTTTCTACGGCCGAACAGATAGATTCTAGAGTAATCCTTGGATTAGGTCGATGACCGTGTTCGCCGAAACAAACGTGGACGTCGACCTGCGTATGCTACGTTCCTTCAGGGTCCTCAGACCGCTAAAGCTGGTTTCGAAAATTCCAAGTGAGTCTAGACAAAAGTTGTGCGCAAAACGGCGGCAAATGATTTGCAAATGCCGTCATTGTAACAGTATAAACAGTATAAACACAGAGTGCAGTAACAGAGAACTCAGTCGATCAGCTGATTGATTATCCATTACTAAAACCAAATTGAAATCTTTTTTATTCTTATATCCCCGTTGTTCCTGGCAGTTTGTTTGTGCGTTCGACTAGTGTCTCCTTGTTAGTTTTAAACGTTTCTTGATATTTTTTTAATCAGACACACACTCTTAGACTCCCGTCGATCATTTAGATTCTCTGTCAGTTTCTGTCTGTCTATCTGTCTGTCTATCTTTCTCTGTCTCTCTTTGCTTTAGTTGACACGTTGGGTGGACGTTTTTTAGTTCTGGCAAGCAAGATCGGCATCATACTTAAGCTAACTTAATATAACAGTATCTGCGTGTGTACTTGACACTTTTCTACAGGGTCTATAGCTATATCATCGTAAACAGGAATGATTGTTTGCGTAAAGGCGTACTTTTCTTTTAGAGAAAATTCATTTCGAACATTACTTTACGTGATTGGATTTATTTAAATGGGGCACGTTCGGATACATTTGAAAATTAATTTATTTATTTTCAAGCGAACCGTTGATTTGGGATTAATTCATCGAGCTACGGTTAATACTTATAAAAAATATATATTAATTTGATTTTTACTCAAGAAATCAGCCCATTTACGATTGCACCACGATCGAAGCTGGACCCTGTATACAGGGTGAATCATGTAGATACGTTGAGTCTTTCTACTAATCTATGCCTTAGTTTCCATCCTTTTTAGTTTCCTTCTTTAGTTTCCCGATTGAAACGTGTGGTTTTGAGCGTTGCGTTCCGTTTGATCGTTGATTGACCATCATCACTTTAGAGGCTATGGGTGTATTAGATCAGTTGATTGACGCTAGATGATCGTTGACAGTTGATCGATATTAATTCAATTCAATTATACGTATATTTATTATATATTCTGTGTCCACGTGGTTTGCGTAATCTCCAGTGTCTCTCTATATACATTTTACACGTAATATATAACTCTATACTGTCTCTCTCTATTATAATATAGAAGAGTTGCGTGAAATATTAGTCGCTAGCATTTATTATTCAGTTATTTTAGATCTGTCTTCTCTATATGCACAAGTTGTTCGTACTTTTTAGAGCGTTTTAAACGACGACGAATTAGACACACACGCACGTTACACACATGGGGGAGAGAATCTTGAACATTTCCATCGAAAGCTTCGATCTTTCGTTTTCTTTTCTTCTTTCATTTGGTCGCTACTATAAAACTGAACGCGAATAAGAGAGAAAAAAGAAATCTATATGCATTTCCAATTAAAAAAAAAAATAAAAATAAAATTATTATTTCTGTCAAATACAAACAACCATAGTAAAAGGACAAGGAGAAGTTTCTTTCAACGTCAGTAATGAACATTTACTTGAGAAAAACACACGCACACGCTCACGAAAAAAAAAATTAATTAATTAATTAAAAGAAGAAACACAAAAACAGTACTGGCCTGCAGGTGTCATTGTTGAATTAGCAGTCACTGACTGATAGAATTGACCTTAAGTTGAGTAAAAACAAATACGTACGTGTTCTAGAGCAAGTAAAGTATTCGAGCAAGCTCGTGTTTGCTATTATAGAAAAGTCGTACCTTTTAGACAGCCTCGAGGGACCGAGACTTCTAGATCTAGAGATTTCTTTAGACCTTACCGAGGTGACCCTCCACCCTTTCCCTTTCCTTCAAACTTCTCTCTTTTGTGCCATTTATTAAGAAAAAAGAGAGAACATTGCAGCAGAAGCATTGGGATATGAAAAAGTTGTTGATCTTTGGAAGCATCGGGGGTATGGATTCACCTCTTGAAACGTGAATGAAGATCTCGTGGATCCTCTAGTTTAAGATACCCTTCTATCCTTGCTTTTTTCATTCGTAGATTTAATGAAATAGTGGCGTGTATAAGGGCTCGAACACGAGAGTAGTTACGTTAGGGTGTTGATACTTTTGAACATTCGTCGTGGTCGTTCACGATTCAAAGACGCTTCTTTATTCATCTTTTATTATAATATTTTATTGAAATTCTAAAGTGGTATAATGCGATGACCGCGACGGATGTTACATTTATAACATCCGTTAGAATAAAGTTGCAGCCGTTAGAAATATATTCAGGGGTGTTTAAAATTAGCGAGTCGCGCGAGTAATTTAATAACAACTTCCTCTCCGCTATCGAACCTCTTTTCTGGTAATTACATCGTAAAACATTCACCTTCCTCTCATAGTTAACGCCATTCTCGGTTATCGATGGGTATTTTGTCAATTTCCTGTAAATATTCAAATGATTACTTCAAAGAGCCTATAATAGTCGCGTTAAATTTTATTTTCAGAAAAATAGATGTTGCTAGTAAATTATTACAATTAATGCCTTGTGAAAGATGAATCGTACTAATTAACGTTTCAAGCCTGTTGTAATTTCGAACGATATTCAAAGCGATTGTTAGCCCATCGGTAATCATACCTCCCCGCTTCCACGCTTTCGATATTTAAACATTCTCATTCAATTCCGATCGTATCGATAATAAGTCAAATTGATTCCCTTCGAAACCGTTCAGTTCAGTCCTTTCGCGAGGATAGTTTAAGAGGTAATCCAGCGATGCGCTAATTCGATAAGCTAATCCAAAGCTGCGAGAATCGAGACTCTAGCTTCTCAATCTTTTGTCTTTGGGTACGCTCGTAGAATCAACCCGGGACTAACTTTGGTCCCATTTCGTCCTATACTACTCAAAATTGTCTTATTTAACTTGAATCTGGCTGCTAAATTACAGAGTTACACAGTCTGTCAATGAAATTTCCGTAGACCTCGTAAAACTTTCAACGTTGTACAATTTCGATTAGTTACGAGAATAATGCAAATGTATTATTTATTCCTTTGCTCAGAAATCGTACAACGTGACAAGCTATACGGGACGTTTTTTTCATCGACTGTAACTGAAATACCATTATCCATGAAAGTTGATTTAGAAACGAACAGTTTAAAAACGATAGAGTCGTTCCTCGACCAGAGCATCATCCCGTTAGAGTGATATTCATTCCCAGAGTTCCCTCGGGTTAGGCCATAGAAACGCTAGTTAACCACCTAGTTGTGTAGTCTAAGTACTTAAGTAGCCTGAGTATTAGTGTAATAGAGTAGTAAGTAGTAAAGTGTGGCGGGGTGTGTGTGTTTTGGGGCAGGTTCATCACGGCGTTCTCGCAGGGCATAGAACTGGATATGGATCTGCGCACGTTGCGTGCGATACGCGTGTTGCGACCGCTCAAACTTGTCTCCGGCATACCGAGTGAGTAGCGTTTCAAATACAATCGGCCACGAAAAATCCAGCCGAAACGAATCAAAAAAAGAAAGAAAAAAAAAAAAACAATTGCCTCTCGTTAATCGTTTCTCTCTATCGTTTTCTATTTCATTTATTTTTCTTTTTCCTGTTTTCTTTCGCCAGCCAACGATTTTTCCAAACGGATCGATCGATCGGCTGGCAGATTACGCGACGATCAGTTGAAAATGTTGAAATTTTACACGTGAGCGAGCGATTTATATATTTTCCTTTTCTTTTTTCCTCTCTTTGGTTATTTTATTCATTGAATTAGAGGAAGCAAACGCGAGGCACACGGTGCTCGAGGAACGCGCGTCGATGGCTTTTATTTCCTGGCGCCTGGAATTCGGATACTTCGTGAGTCGACTGGATATCCGTTCCTTCGGAACGTTTCTATTTATCGATTTTAGATACTGCATAGAAACGATTACGAGCGAACCGATCATTTATTGTTTTTTTTTCAGACACGAAGCTCGTAGATCAGTGTAGTGTGATATTGTTGCAGGTACGCTGCCGTTCATAAATATCCGGACACTTTTTTTTTTTTTATCTTCATCGAAATGAGAAATGTACCACGTGTAATTTATCGAACGACAAATAGGTCCTCTAAAAAAAAATGTCCGGATACTTATGAACGGTATCGTATATATTTCTATATCTTATATCTATATATTTACACGTAGATGCCTTGCAACGCTAGAACGATTATTTTGTTTATACGTAGCACCACCCAAATAGATCTATCTTTTCAGAGTTGTATGCTGTGTCCATGTAACAACGAAGTATCCCAATTGTTTAGCCGCTAGAGTAATCGGAGAAAGAAATGTAACGAAACGAAAGTTTTTCACGGGGGTAAAAAGCGAAAGAAAAGAAAACGACCGTGAATTGTATTTAAAAATAACGAAACATGTACTTACGTTTGTTCGTATCCGCGCGCGATTCCCCGAGCAGCGGAGGGAAAAATGGAGAAAACGCGACACGGTTACCGGTCGAACAAAGAACACGTGAATCGCTCCGTGGAATCGTTGGTTGGACCTAATTACTCCTGGCGAATTTTTTGCAAACAGGTCTCCAGGTGGTGCTCAAGTCCATCATCAAGGCGATGGCGCCGCTTCTGCAGATCGGCTTGCTGGTGCTGTTCGCCATCGTGATATTCGCCATCATCGGTCTCGAATTTTATTCGGGAACGTTGCATAAAACGTGTTACAGCATCAGGAATATCAGTGAGTAAACCCTTTCGTGGAGGGTAGTTAACTGTAGTAAGGAGTCTATAGCCTTGCCACGCAGAAACGATCGATCGATCAGAGAGTATAATCGTTTAGGGAAGACAGAGTATCGATATTGATTTTGTTTTAGATATAATCGTGAAGGAGGGCGAACAGGCGAGTCCGTGTAACACGGACAACAAATCCGAGGCGCCTTTCGGGGCGCACGTGTGCGACGCGAATGTCTCGACGTGCATGGATCACTGGGAGGGACCAAATTTCGGCATCACCAGCTTCGACAACATCGGATTCGCCATGCTCACTGTCTTCCAGTGCATCACTATGGAGGGCTGGACTGCCATATTGTACTGGGTAAAGCAAGAGATATGTCCTTCAGTGTTAAACTTCTACTCTCTCTGTTTTCTGTTTCCTTTATTTTTTTTTTTTTCTTTTTATTTTTCACATTTTTCTCGTTTTTCTTGTGTCTCGAACTCCGTGCACGAACGTGCTTCACGGTGGGATCTTCAACGTCATATTCTCGGTTTTCGATCTTCGGGAATTTTTTTCGTCATTAATAATCATTGGTCAGTCAAACGCCTTAAAAGTGTCCATATGGTAGCTTTAAAGGATTTTTACTTTTGAAAATTTTTCTATGTATAAAAATTCATTAGAAAAATGAAATAATTGACTGATCACGTTGAAAAACATTCTCTCTATCATTCGATGTGTGTACCTTTGGCCAATTGCTTGCTCCGTTCGTTATTATTTTTTTATTTTTCGTCCTTTTTATTCCTAAAATTGTTAAACATCTAAATGTGACATCATTTCTCGTGTCGATCGTTATTCTTTTCTCTGTATGCCGTGTTTATTCGTACATGTGTTTTGCCCGATAACGTTTCGCTTCCGACGATTTTCACGTTCGTTTACCGGAAGTACCTCGGGAGAAGAACCGCTTGCAGTTGTTACAGCTAACACTGACGTATATGTTCACCTTGCTCAGTATAACACTGTCAGTTTCAGCCCTCTTTGTAAATCTCTTGGTGTTTAATCGTATCTTTTCTACGCTTCGTTCTCAACCAGTTTGCCAGAATCCGAAGAATTTTCTTTTTCGATTCTGCGCGTGTTAACGCTTCGACGGTCGTTTTAAAGAAAAATATCAAAGTAGTTAAAAATCATCCTGACCGTCAAAGTATTAATATTTCATGTATAAAATTGTATCGAAGAAAGAGAAGAAGCGTAAAGTGTATCGATGTTTGAATGTCGTGGCAATATTTCCTTGTATGTAAACGGTGCATCGTGTTCGTACACGTAACACCATGAACTTCACGTGGCTCTGGTGAAATTTGCAGACAAACGACGCTCTTGGCAGCACGTACAACTGGATTTACTTTATACCATTGATCGTCCTTGGCTCATTCTTCATGCTGAACTTAGTTCTTGGTGTCTTGAGCGGGTGAGTATATTCATTCTCGATTTCTTGGCCCCGATTTCCGATCGGTCTCTTTAACATCTACCACCTGTTTCTTGTTTCTTTACCACCGATGGGTCGTTCACCGTAACGATACCTCGAATCGTTAGAAATCTATGCAAATGAATATTGAATTACATCCTTGTAGAAAGTCGTCTTGTCGTTCTGTAATTTTCCTCGAACGTTACAGCACGGTAAAACGTTATTTTTACACGGATGCATCGGTGATTGAAAGGTAATCGTAAAGGAACGACCAAGATTATCATTGTTTCTCTTCGTCAGGGAATTTTCAAACGAAAGAACACGCGTGGAGAGACGGGCGGCGTATCAAAAAGCAAAGAGAAAACGTCTGTTCACGACTGCGTTCAGTTCCTACTTAAAGTGGATCACTCAAGCAGGTCTCGAAACGATCGATCTTCCCTTAACTTTGTCGCGCTAGCCGTTTTCCCGCTTCGATGAGAGGATCTCGTTAGCGAAGCCAGTAAAAGCCAACGTTTATCGCGGAGATACTCTATAACACGCAAACTTTCCTCGTAGGCGTCGCTAATCTCAAACTTCTGCCTCGATAAAGTATTCTCTGTAAACGGCTCGAATAGATGCGAACCTATTTAAAACATCGAATGAAAGAAGGTTCGAGACTTGCGCTGTCTCAGGGCAGATACAAGTCTTGAACCCTTGTGTTTCGACTCCCTAAAATAACCCTGTGCTTGATCGAGTATCAAATCGTTAGAGTAACGCGTATAAAATAGTAAAGATCTGTGAAATGTAGATCCTTAGCTGTATGTAACGCTCGTTGTCATCTGTGTAACGCTTGTAGAGAGTTTGCAAAGGAGAGAGAGAAGGTGGAGAACCGGCAGTCCTTCCTGAAATTGCGAAGACAGCAGCAGCTCGACCGTGAACTGAACTGTTACCTGGATTGGATCTGCAAAGCAGGTTAGAAAGTCAACGTGCCAGGGCTGCCTATCGATTCTCTTATCGAGCACCCTTTACAGCACCCATCTCCTTAGGCCAGAATCTTGTACCCTTTTTTTTTATTCATCTCTGCTAGAGCTATATTGCTCGCGATTCTTTCTTCCTTTTCATTCAAACAAACTCTGTACTCGTCGCGTTCCATAAACGTTTCTAATAATTTGTAGAGGAGGTAATACTGGCGGAAGAAAGGACCACGGAAGAGGAGAAAATGCACATATTAGAAGGTTCGTGTTGACGCGTTTAGAATAATCGATGTTGAAATATTTAGAAGGTGTATGGAGAGAGTTATTTGTTTGACAGTAAGAAGAAGAGCCGCGGCGAAAAAGAAGAAGCTAAAGAACCTTGGCAAAAGCAAAAGCACGGATACAGAGGAAGAGGAAGGCGATGATGACCAGGACGATAGTGAGTTGTATTTTTCATTTTTCAACCCGTTTCAACATATTTTAGTTGGTCAACTTTTATTCTGTATCGACATGTGCTACATATTCTCGCTTATCGACGTTACAATCGACATCTTGACTAACTGGTCAGATGGTCTCGCTAGCAGCGTTCGCGTTCTTTGATCTTTTCCTTTGAATCGTAACCCTTTGGCTGGGACGCTTTTCAACTGAAAATTCTCCTCTGTGTGCGGAACGTGTCACCGGAATCCAGTTCAAGTGCTCTGTAAAAAACGACTGCTAGCGGTAGAATATTGCAAAAGAGCAAATACATACTGCAATAAGAGAAAAGAAAGTGAAATTAAAATATGAAAATATAACGATCGATCGGCTTGCGTTTTCAGGACTCTCTAGATCTTCCTATTTCAAATCGAGGGAAAAGGAAGAGGGTACTTGCGTGCAATTTTGGCGGGCAGAAAAGAGATTCAGATTTTGGATACGAAGCTCGGTGAAATCGCAAAAGTTTTACTGGTTCGTCATCGTTCTTGTGTTCTTCAACACCGTCTGCGTGGCCGTGGAACACTACGGTCAGCCTCCGTGGCTTACCGATTTCCTCTGTAAGTAGAATCTTTTATTTGTATTATTAAAAAGTATATATCAACAGAAATTCAAAAGCGATTGTCGTGAAATGTTGACAGATTACGCGGAATTCGTGTTCCTGGCCCTGTTCATGCTGGAGATGTTCATAAAGGTGTACGCTCTCGGTCCTCGCACCTATTTCGAGTCGAGTTTCAATCGTTTCGACTGCGTGGTCATCTCGGGATCGATCTTCGAAGTGATCTGGTCCGAGGTGAAGTCCGGCTCTTTCGGCCTCTCCGTCCTACGTGCCCTTAGACTCCTGCGAATTTTTAAGGTCACCAAATACTGGAAGAGCCTGAGAAACCTCGTAATATCGCTGCTCAGCTCGATGCGTAGCATCATCTCCTTGCTCTTCCTGCTCTTCCTCTTCATTCTCATATTCGCGCTGCTCGGTATGCAGCTGTTTGGCGGTCAGTTCAACTTCGAATACGGCACACCGCCCACTAACTTCAACACCTTTCCCATCGCGCTGCTCACTGTCTTCCAAGTAAGTTTCACACTTTCTTTTATACTTTTTAACAACTTAATAGAAGTTGAGCAGAAGACTGAAAGGAGGAAAGAGAAAACGGGACATGGTCTTTCTTCCGAACGAAATCATATCCTCTAAATTTTTGTACATCCTCTCTTGTTTAACGAATGCAACATGAATGACGTAGATCCTGACCGGAGAAGATTGGAACGAAGTGATGTACCAGGGTATCGAGTCGCAAGGCGGTCACAAAAAGGGCATGATCTACTCGCTCTACTTCATCGTACTGGTGTTGTTCGGCAACTACACGCTGCTGAACGTGTTCTTGGCTATCGCCGTCGACAATCTGGCGAACGCGCAAGAATTGAGCGCCGCCGAGGAGGAAGAAAAGACCGAGGACAAGGAGAAGCAGACGCAGGAACTCGAGAAAGAGATCGAGTCCTTACAAAAACCGAAAGACGGTAGCGCGCCGAAGGTAGAGATCTGCCCTCCGAGTCCTACTCAGAATTTGTAAGTATCTCTTTATCTGTTATATCGCGAGTTGAGAAGAAGAAGATAAAAATGTTGATAATCGTGTTGAAATTGTAGCAAAGACGGAAAGGGTGGGAAACAGTCATCCGAAGAGAAGAAGCAGGATGAAGACGATGACACGGGACCAAAACCAATGCTGCCATACTCCTCCATGTTTATACTGTCCCCTACGAATCCGTAAGTTCGATTCTTCGTTCCCGACGAATTGAAACGACGAATAAATCGTTAAAAGTATATACGTATGATTGAATCGTAGCGTAAGAAGAGCCGCCCATTGGGTCGTGAACCTGAGGTACTTCGACTTCTTCATAATGGTGGTGATATCGTTGTCGAGTATCGCGTTGGCCGCCGAGGATCCCGTATGGGAGGACTCGCCGAGGAACGAGGTGCTGAATTACTTCGATTACGCGTTCACCGGTGTCTTCACCGTCGAGATGATCTTGAAGATCATCGATCTCGGCATCATACTTCATCCAGGCTCGTACCTACGCGAATTCTGGAACATTATGGACGCGGTGGTGGTGATATGCGCCGCGGTATCGTTCGCGTTCGATATGACCGGTAGTTCCGCCGGACAGAATCTATCGACGATCAAGTCGTTGAGAGTGTTGCGTGTATTGAGACCTTTGAAGACGATCAAAAGGGTGCCGAAATTGAAGGCGGTGTTCGACTGTGTCGTGAACAGTCTGAAAAACGTCATTAACATTCTCATAGTGTACATATTGTTCCAATTCATATTCGCTGTGATCGCGGTGCAGCTGTTCAACGGCAGGTTCTTCTACTGCAGCGACGAGAGCAAATACACGGAAGAGGATTGTCAGTGAGTATTCGAACGTTCATGGTATCGACTTGAAAGAACGATCAGTTTGTCCAGGTCTAAGGTGTAATTGATCAGTTTTAGAAAACTAATTGAAACGGTAGGGTTGTTTGATTAACGTTTTGGCTGTGTACCTCGCAGGGGTCAATATTTCGTTTTCGAAGAGGGTGCTATGCTGCCAGAGCCAAAGAAACGGCAGTGGGAGTCCCAGTGTTTTCATTACGACAACGTGATGGCCGCGATGCTTACGTTGTTCGCGGTACAGACTGGCGAGGGATGGCCGCAGATACTGCAGAATTCGATGGCGGCCACGTACGAGGACAGAGGCCCCATACAAAATTTTCGTATAGAGATGTCCATTTTCTACATCGTCTACTTCATCGTATTTCCATTCTTCTTCGTCAACATCTTCGTGGCCTTGATTATCATCACATTCCAGGAGCAAGGAGAAGCTGAATTGCAAGACGGCGAAATCGACAAAAATCAGGTTGGTCGACGACGTTTGATTCGGCGTTAACGTCGAAGAAGAATGATATTTAAAGAAATTCGACCGACGCGTTCGTTTCAGAAATCTTGTATAGACTTCACGATACAAGCTCGTCCTCTGGAGAGGTACATGCCGAAGGAACGGAACAGCGTTAAGTACAAAATCTGGAGGATAGTGGTATCGACGCCGTTCGAATATTTCATTATGGGTCTCATCGTATTAAACACAGTGCTACTCATGATGAAGGTAAGTCTCCACGATTCGTTCCTTCCTCTCTCTCTCCCCGAGAACTTGTCTCGAAGAGAAAATATAAATGATTTTTTTTTTAATCTTGTGGACGTAACGAGCCTGAATAATGTACGTACGACGCAGAAGACGCGAGCGCCGGAAGGAAGCACACGCTAGTACCTACCCCTTTTCTTGTGTACCCTTGCACGTACAATTTTCGTACACCTTGATTAATGAAATTTAGCGATGGATTATTACCTTTATTCGTATTTAAAAATTTGTCAAGTTTCAAAAAGTAGTCTGAGATTCTATAATGTTCGAAAGAAAGAAAGTCCATCGCTACTTATTAAAGTTTCCTTCCCCGGTACAATTGAACATCCCGTCGCGTATCGTCGAATTTTGTGCTCGCGTTTGGCAATTTTAACCAATCCGAAAAGCAGCCTATACTATCGATTCTCGTCGATCGATTGCGACGAGATTGCGACGAGAATCGTCGGAACGGGACAATAACGAGCCATGTTCGCGGAACGTGCACGATGAAGAGAGCTCGAAGTATAAAACTGTAAGATACAACGTTATATCTGTACGAGGACATTGTTGTTCTTGCCTGCCAATTTATTTATTGCTCTCTGTATAATTGTCATCCTTGTATCCATTGATACGTGGTGTACACAGCTCTGTGTTCAATACTCTTCTCTCCTCTCCTTTCGTGCCAGAAAGAAAGACATCCTTTTCTTCTCTATCCTTTTTGTTCGCCGTTTCACAGATTCCATTCGAAACCACAGACTTTAGTTAGATGCTCGGTGATTCACGGTGTCTCGATGCTTTTTATTCGATCCTATCCGTTCGTTCCAGAATCGTTGCGGAAGCTTTTATTTCCATGCCAGGCCTGCGCCGAGTGCATCCAGACGACCTATTGGTCGTTGAATTTTCTTGGAATCGTTTCAAATCCGCTCGGATACCAGAAAAATACGTGGCTTTTATGAAGGAACGGGTACACATTACTTTCTGCAATTTCAATCGGAAGATCCTTTGCATTTTTACAGTATCCTAAATATCGAAATCCCTAAATACTAAAATGCTTAAGTGAGAAAATTCCAGAATGGGGACAAGAAGCAAAAGTACATGTTTAAAAGCACTCGCGCTAGTCTGTTCCACACACTTCCATTAATCCCTCGTTTTATCAAACTTTATTTCGCTTTCAGTAGCAATATTTCTTTTCGTTCTCTTTCGTTCCGTTCGATATATCCTATGTTCGTATAGTAATTCCTCTCGATTTCTTCTACTCCTTTACTCCTTTTTCTAACTGCATGCCCGCTACTGTGTCCTCGTTTTTCGATACTAAACGTTCTCGAAAATACGTGGAAGAACAATATCCGAATATCGATACGCTATCCCACAACCACATTAAACACGAAACACACACGCGGGTGCCGCTCACTTAAACACACCAAGTGAGTTCGACTCGTAAGCCTTGACAAGCCCATGTTTGAACTGGTGGCGAGGTTTCAAGCGTAGCACAAACTGGCTTGATTGAATTAATCGTCAAGTTATATCCAAACACCATTGAAACGATGAAAGAATAAAAAGCTGCGGCATACGAGAAGCCCTGCACGCGAGTCCACGTGTGCTTCTAGAGCACACTTTATTCGTCTCTATATCTTTTTTTTTTTTTATTACTCTCTGCACCTTATTTCATTTTGTTCGACACAGCCTGTTTGTGGTGCACTCCGTTTCGTTGGATTCTTTTTTTTTTTTTTTTTTACAAAAGACTGGCTTCCGTTTTCCAACGAAACGGTACGCTTTTTATCCTTTCGACACAAGATTAAATTCTTACTCGAGCAAACGTGTCTCGGACCCACGTACTTGTGCTTCGCCGTTTGAACAAATCTTTTTTTTCCACACACACACACATTGCCTGTAACACGTACCTGTAACGCACATGGTTTTGAGAATGGATCACACTACGAGTAACGTACACACGATGTCTGAAATGTTCGCAAAATGTTCGAAACAAAAAGGGACTACGAGACTCGTTATCGAACTGAACGTTCGTTAAACATTAATCAGTCTCGAGTTTCTTTGTGCAGAGGCACGTTGGCTGTTATAATACCGACACACTTTCGTGTTGTCGCCGAACTGTTTGCACGAGTGGCAAACTGCGTGTCGCATGCCTGGCTGCTCGCAATCCAAATACTTGACCGAACAAGTGGTCGAGCGAATCACTGAACTACACCAGACACCCACTGAATTTGTGTGCGTGTATTTATTTTTTTCTATTTGTCTTTTCTTTTCTTCGGTAACGACATGTTTCTTGCACGAGATGCCCGCACGACTCGATCCCATCATCCAGGCCCGTTAGAAGGGGGTGAAATATAAGGGAGGTGGACCACAAAGTTAGTTAACGCGTGTTTTATGAATTCGAAGATTCGTTTACTTTTCTCAAACCGAGTCCGCCTCCCTGCCTCGCTCCTTCAAAATCCTTTCGATTTAAAGAGAGAAAGGAAGACACATTCGAGTACCTCGAGCAGAAGGGATGATTTGCAACCCTCTGTCTCTCCTCCTTTACAATGTTTCCATCTTATTTTTCTTCGGCCTGATTTTTAGCTCGCTCTCTGGACATCTTTCATTCCTTGATTGCCTTCTGTTTTGATCTGTTTCCTTTGGTCGTTTCTTTTTTTGCAGTAACGATCTTCGCTCTATCCTCTTGTCTATCGCGACTCTCACTCTTCCAAGACACCAAACTCTTATCTGTTCGTCCAAAAACCGATCCTGGCGCAGACGACGACGAGGAATAATCGTGAGAATTTGAATTTTCTTTCCTTTGAAGTTGAATTTTATCAAACAGGACGAATGATTCCCGTCGTCGTTGCGTACGACGCGATCCGAGCGTCGTTTCTTGAATCCTTGATCGAACGATCGATAGCGATGTATCATGCTTGGTGTTATTTATAATTGCTTAAAAATTTACAAGAACGATTATCGAGTATCGCTAACGATCGATCGTCAATACCAGTACAATGGATCCAACGTTTGGACGTTATCCCATATCAACACGATGACGTCGATGATCGATGACACTAAGTATAAACGTGTGCACACACTAGCCACATGTAGCTGTCCCTAATACCATGTAAAATCTCTTTAATGATTATTTTTGTCATCGTTGAAATACACACCCTGTAGGACCGTACAGATACACGTATCTAGGTTAACGCTAATATTATACGCCTGTGTGTCTCTCCCTCTTTGTCGACTGAAAAGTGTCACTATAATTATAATTATATTTATACACCGTGTAACTTACAGATTTCGCACTCTATTTTACACGTAATTCGTATATTTGTAACACCGTGTTCACTTGGGGTTCGTTCGTCGATACGCTTCGAAGAAATCAATCATTTTTATTCATTTTCCAATTAGAAATTGCAAAAGCGTATCGATGCACGAAATTGTTCGATTCTTTCCCTAATTGATCAGAATAAGTGAAATGAAAGAAGAAAAGTGACGACGGTGGTTAGGAGCGTAAATTTCTACCGTGCGGCTCGCCGTCCGCCAAATCGCGCTCGTTCAATAGGCTTGTACGTCTGTCTGTTTGTTTGTCTGTCTGTTTGTACGTTCGTATCTGTCGGCCGTGTGTGTTTGTCAGTGTATGCATTGCAGTTCCATCGGCAAAGCGACGCGTACAAGAATACGCTGAAGTACATGAACATGTGCTTCACGGGGATGTTCACCGTCGAGTGCATACTGAAGATCGCCGCTTTCGGCGTGAGGGTAAGCTCCACCATGCCAACCAACCCCCCCTCATCGAACAGATTATTTCGAGAAAACGTATACGCTTAGAGAGTAGTCGAGTTTCCGCTGAAAAATGATGCCTGCGACTATTTCTTTTCTTATTTTTTCTTATTTTATTCGTTTTCATAATTGTACACTTATCCTTTTGCACAGTGAATACTATTTGTACTTTACGAAACGATAGATCGCAGAATCAATTTTCAGAGAGTAGGCTGGGTAAGTTTTGCTTATTAGAGAAAAATTAGAGCGTTTCATTTATTTTTTTTATTTTTTTCTCTCCTTGAAAGAATAGGTAGTATCTTACCTACTCGAAAGTACTGAAAAGTATCCTCGTGTTGCAAGAATACGTGTATGTACGAGTATTTTAGAGAACCTTTTGTGTTCAGGGCTGAACAGACGCTGAACCTCGAGCTCTAGTAGTGTAATTATTTGTTCCTTCTTAGATACCCCATTTTTTGTAGAGATCTCTATCAATAGCTCTATTTTCTTTGATCCTTTCGCTGTGAACTTACGGGCACAGACGAATATCTTATTACTGGAATGAAATCTGTTCGTAGACTGTGGCGGATGCTCAGCTCTGTACGCTACCTAAACGAGATGCACTTCTGTGCATATTCATTTGATGCTGTTTGAGGATTGCAGGATATAGAGTAATTAATACGCTTGATTTTCTTAACCAAGATCCGGCTATCGTTTGATATTTTAACTTGTATTACTAATTGGATCACAACCTGCGCTCCTCATTCGCTCGAAACATATAACTCGATACAAGACATCGAAATGATTCTTCGATATTCGTAGCTGATAGAACGCGACCACTAATTAAATTGGAAACAAATGTAACTGCGAGTTGCTTCAAGAGAAACATTATTCTCTATGTTTATTAATCATAAACCATGATTGGAATTTGCATCCCGCCGTTAAACGAGTTTTCAAGAATTTTCTCGCGTTAGCTATTAGTACACGAAACACAGGCACAATACGACACAACAAATTTGCATTCACGCTCGTCAGTACCCAAACACGAACATTATCAATTATTTTTCGTTCATTTTCTATCTATCTTATCTACCTATCTGTCTTCTTTTTCTGGCTGGTTATTTTCATTTTGAAAACATCGAACGAGAGAGGGTGGGGGGAAACTGTCTCGAGGAAGCGAATCCAGCCCAGAAGAATCCCCTTGCTGCATGCAAATACCAGACTTGTTGCACCTTGCACGTAATCACTGCACGTTGACGTGGTTCTTTATCCTTGCATGTGTAATATTGTGCTTTGAACCTCTTGTCTTACGATCTTTTCTTTCTTCAATGATCTTCGAATCCATGATTAATATTTCATATTAAAAGACAAGAGGTTAACGATGAACGTCGATTGAAACGAAAGAATCGATGTTCTACGTTGAAGAGCGATTGTTGTGTTGCAACGACTGCGTGTTATGGGCCAATAACGATTAATGCCGTGATTTTCGAAATAATTTTAAGAAAATGAACTTTTCAAAGATTCCATGAATAGCAAAACATACTTGGTTCACGGTCAATTTTGATAACGAAGAAACAAAAGTAACGAAAGTTTCTAATTCTCGGAATACGCATGCCATTCGATTTGATCTGTGGAAAAGTTCCGTCACTTTACGAGGAAATGAAAAGGCATCAATTTATATAGTTTTGAGTTCTTCCATAAATCGGTAATAAACCTAAATTCACAAGGAAAAAAAAGAAAGTGACGATACTTTCCCCAGAGATCTAACTAAGTAACATCGTCGCGTCGGGAAGGAGCAGTTACGGATTCTATCCGTACACACTCACCACACACAAAAAACACGTACACGAATATCGTCGTTTAACGCGAGCAGAAATGACGAAAGTTATCTTAAAAGATCGCTCTCTGAGAGATTGGTTAGACTTGCTTTGGATAATATCGTCCGAGAGAATGAAAAAGAAAAAAAAATTTTAAATAATGAAATTCTGACCCTAATCGAAGAGCATCCCCGATTAAAAAGTGGGACGCTGACACAACGAAGAGTTTCATCGCAACGGGATTACTTTTGATCGTTCGAAAAATTGTTCGAACTTAATTTCGAGCAATTGTTGATAATGTTGAGCGTAATTTTAATTTCGTTGTGTTACGTCTGTGTGTTGGGTGTATTTTGTAGTTTCACAAGGCGCCGCCAAAGCTATTGGACGCCTTGACCGTCATGAACTTCGCCGTCACCCTCCTTTTCCTCATTGAGTGCATCCTCAAACTCGTCGCCTTCGGATGCAAGGTATAAAAAAAGCCTGTTAATCATTAAAAACTCCACTAACTTTGATCACACGCAATTATCTATAATATTACGATAATATTGTACAGATCGTCTTAAAGAGCTTGTACACCATGAGAGCTGCAGATTGTGCAAATAATGTGGTGTACAATCTTTTTGAAGCGTTCTGTATATACCGCGTGTTATCTACGTTTTCTTTATCATTTCGTTACCTAATCTCTCTACTTAAAATATGTTCGTGAAATAAGAATATTATGCGAGGGAAATGGGATCGCGAGTGTGTAGTTGTATTTCGGGATTAATGCCAGAAAAGAGGAATACAATGTTTGGTGATAACGCGACTGCTTAGAGATATATTTTTCAATTCCACCTTCGATTATGTGTCATTTTCATTTGTTTCAGAATTACGACGATAAGAACGATCGAAACCTGTACCGATTCTCTCTACTTTCGTTAATCGTTGTTAAAATTAGAAATTTGTCGGTATACTTTTGAATCGGCCGACCCGTATTTAGAGTAAAGTTATACATAGTACCGAGATTGTTTCGCTGATACTCTTTTCTTCCGCTTGCATCTTTTAAACCAGTAGACGAAGGTGACCTCTTTCCTGGCCTGGAAAAAGGACGATAAAGTAGAGCTTCTCGCGAATAACCGCGTATCTATCTCTCGCACACACTCTGTCTCTAGTTTTTGCTTGCTATTACCGGCATGATTCTGTAGATACTCATTTTAGAGAAGAGATCCCGATAAAATGCCGACTCACGGCTATGATCGCCTAAACACCCTCTCAGCCAAGTCTCTTCAACTTTTGAAAACACCAATTGTTTAAATAGTTTAGACATACTTGAAACTTTAATCGGTAATCATATACGGAGCCGACACCGTTCGAAACGAAGAGATATGGCCTTTTACTCGATACACCGTTCGAAAGCACATATTTTTCACACTTGATTTTCTAATTAGCATCGTTTACTTTCGTGTTAAGGGTGCGTATCGACACAAATACACATACATACACGTACATACTTACACATCGAGGGGAAAGTTTGCCTCTGTGCCGCAACGAGTGAACTTTCCTTTTCTTTTATTTAGCGAATTCGTAGTTTTGTAGCTTGAGTATTTGCAAACAGTTTACACACTCGAAAGCTTCTCGAAGTTTTTTCGAGCTTTCACCCTTACGTAACTTCGCAAATTAGATTGAACAGAACGTACGAAGAGGTTTTCGTGAAATTTCGAAGAAGCTTCGAATCGGCAGCATCAGCAATAGGCAAGAAATAATGGAGAGGGCTGTTACTAATCGTAGTTTTTTAATCCCTCGCGTACAGAACTTCTTCAAAGACGCGTGGAACACGTTCGACTTCATCACAGTGATCGGCAGCATCGTGGACGCCCTGGTGATCGAGTTCGGGGTATGTAAAGCTTCAACGAGCACCGTCGTAAATCGCAAACGAGTATAAAAATTGTTCGATGAGCAATGTAGAATATCCATAACGTTTGCGTTCGTTTTTCGAACGAAATCCCTCGATGATATATAAACCTTTGATATCCTAATTAACTATGTGGACCCAGTGTTGCTTGAATGTATATCTCGAAATGTTGTCGCTCCTTTAAAGCTCCTCTAGGTTAAAGTTTAACCTCTTTGCTGCTTTTTTACTTTCAGCGAGGGTGTACATTTGCGTGCAACGATGACTTTTCTCGGTTAAGAGAAAAGATTCTTTAACCGAAACGCGTTCACGTTGCACGCGACTGTGCCGAATATATAATATGCTAGCAGGTAAATCGACGATCTTATTGGAACCCCTATTAAATTCGCATTTGTATTTAACCGTAGCTTTATGCTGCATTCATACGCTACGTATCTACACTGTATACATTGTCACACGTGCACAATACACGACACCATCCTCCATATATCCACAGTGTACACAGGTGAATCTGTCAGTGGACATTGGTCGAAAAGGAACGCTATGTCTTTTCAGAATACAAAATATTAGAAAATACAGAGTTATTGAAAATTAACGTTTCTTTTCGATCACATACTTCATGTGGTGTTAAAAAATACCCTGAAGATCTCTACATCGTTGGATAGATCACGAAAAATCTTACAATAGCAGACAACGTTTGAATTATTTGAATAATTAATTCCGTCTGCGTTAGACTCCCTACGCATGCGTAAGCGGGACGCTCAGCGGCTCATGCGCAAGCGCAACTCTTAGCGGCTCATGCGCAAGCGCGATGCTAAGCGGCTCATGCGCAAGCGCGATGCTCAGCGGCGCATGCGCAAGAGTGATGCTCAGCGGCGCGCTTGTAGGCGGCAGAGAAGGTTAGTCTCTTATTCCGCGGGTCTTGCCACTCAAGCTGTGCAGTAATTAGTTAATTTTTCAATTTTCAACAACGAAATGTGGCTAAACTACTTTTCGCTTCGATTTTTCGTGATCTATCCAACGGCCTAGAGATCTTCAAGGTACTTTTTAACACCCTGTATAGATGTATAGTGGAAACGACACTGTTCGAACAATCGACATACCACACAGCACTCAACCCACCAGGTATTCTATTTGATCCTCTGTAGTAGAAGTGTATTATTTTTGAGATCCGAAGTAACGCCGTGCTACTTCCATATACTGTAATTAAGTAAAATCTCCAGTAAAAGCGTGAGATAGTTGAACGTCGTTTGCCGCATCGTCGATTGTCGGACTCGAGATTTCCCTTAAATGCTTGTAATCCTTTTAGTAGGTTTTGCTGAACCGACAGTGATGAAAATGTGAACCAGCTTTACAAGCTTCGCGACCAAGTTGTTGTTTTGAACGAGTCTCGTCGCCAGACCAGCTTCGTATCTCTGTAAATCTTTGCTAGTTTTATTCTATCTCTCTTTGTATATGTACATATACATATGTATATTGGCCTATTAAGAGATCATCAGTGTGCTCCGTTCGATCGATTCAATAATCTTGCAATATTCGTGTATTTTTGTACTAGGAGCGGTTTTCGAGTATGCCCAGTGGCGGTCAACTAGGCGAGAAAAAGGTATAAATTTTCCTCACGTTTTACACCAGAGACGTAAGTCGTGGAGCTTTCGTTACAGAAAATCTTCTGTCAAGAGAAATCGGTAAATGAGTACGCGTAGGACACTATCATGAAATACAACAAACTCGAAAGGTCGAGCAATCACTGCGCGATATACTTATTGTTACTCGATAAATTCATTCTCTCACAGATTGCTCGTTCTTGGAAACACGAGCTGTTCATACAATGCACACAAACATACTCGATTCGATATCATAGCAGCACAAGACACGATCTTTTTCGAGGCAGTCTGTACGTACTTTGCGCGGCCATAAAGTCGCACAAAGTACATGAAAGAACAGAGTGGCTTTGGAAAATGGCATATGGATGCGGTATATCAATTCGCGATCAAAATTCCGTCGATGGGGGTCGTTCGATCGCAGCAAACGGGTTAACGAACGACGTTTTCGAATTTCGTACTTACAAGTAGATCAAGTGCAGTGCTTTGAAACAGTTCGAAAGTATTTTCAGCAGGTTAAACGATGTCCAAAGGTGTCTGTAGCTTCGTTCGTGTAACGAGACGATTTCAAAGAAGCGATCAAAGTTCGGTTCGATGAAAGCGTGATGTTAAACGCGCGAAGCTCGATTCGAATCGCGATAAGGAATCGGCATGTTTGGGGGATTAAGTGCAATTTCCTCTGTCCCCTGCAGGAGAACTTCATCAACGTCGGCTTCCTAAGACTGTTCCGTGCCGCCAGGTTGATCAAACTGCTCAGGCAGGGATACACGATACGAATTTTACTCTGGACCTTTGTACAATCCTTCAAAGTGAGTAGACGAGGAATCAGGGCTGCTTAATTAGGGCGCCATCTAATTTCACGGTCTCTTGCAGGCTCTGCCTTACGTCTGCCTCCTCATAGCGATGCTGTTTTTCATCTACGCGATCATCGGTATGCAGGTACGTATCGTACGTCTGATTTCTTCCGATCTCTTACGCCCAATATGGAAAGGAAGAGCGAGCAGGGTATTGAGAAAAATATCGGGGGTGATATGTGTGATTCCGTTGCGACAGGAAAAGAATGTTAAACGACAGTGAATTGTAACCGCTATTAGTGATGATGAAATTCCGTTATCAGGTCTTTGGAAATATAGCGAACGATCCAGGAACAGCGATCGATGAACACAACAACTTTCAATCCTTCTTCGCCGGTCTTATGTTGCTTTTTCGGTGAGTCGAGCAGCTAATAGAAGCAACTTCGAAGTTTGGAGTTAAACGAATTGTTCTTGAAGAGAAAGCTACCGATCTGCATTCGGTGGTTACTGCATCATTCGAAATGAGAAAAAATGAAACGAAAACAATCGGTAGCGATTAACCGTTGTCGTAGAGTACTGAGTTGTTGGCATGAAGTTTAACGAAATTAAGCTGCTCGACGTGTCAATTTGTTGTTAATTGAACCCTGCAGTTAGACCTCCTCTAGACAGTTGTTCCATAGAGATGCTTGCCATAGATTTATCGAGTTTTTGGTCACGTTACGACGATACTCGAGAGAACGAAGGATCGACGATAGTATCGAACAATTAGAATCAAATCGTGAAGGTATTCGATCTTTCAACGAAATCTTCGTCCATCGATTTTCTCTCGAGGAGATCGCCTATCGGTAAAAAGAAAAGAAAGAGGGTAAAGAAAGAACCGTAGCTCGTAATTAATGTGGTGGATGAGTATCGTTAGAGGGTAGATTTTCAACACTAACACAACTCCGTACAACGTTATTTGCTTGAACACGTTTATTGATCGTGTATCGGTAAGAACAAATTGACGGGTTCGATGATAATAGATCGGAAAGGATAAAGAAAACAATCTGTTAAGTTTAACAACGCTCATCCGTAGCGAAAGAAGAGAAAACTTGTTGCTAATGGCGTGCTCGCCCTTTGGCCGTGGGCCAAATTTTCTTTCTGTCGGTCTCAGGTGTTCGGTAACATCGCGCTGGACGCCGACACTTCGATTACCAAGCACAACAATTTCCAAAGCTTCATTCAAGGTCTGATGTTGCTTTTTCGGTGAGTAACAACACGCTAAAAACGACACGCAAAGAGTTATGTTAGCTACGGCACAGCTGATAATCACGCTCACGATTTAATCCACGGGAAATTGAATCACCTTCGGGACACTGTAATTTCTTTTCTTTTCATTTTTTTTTTTTTTTTCTCTTCGCGAGAAACATAAAGGGGGCTAAAAGCGAGGTAAATCGAGATGATTGTTTTCGTTTCTTACAACGACAAATCACTGACACACTAATGTAAGAAAGGGCCAAGCTACGCCTCGTACGTGATACTTGAAACTAACGCTTAAAGTAGAGTAATTGAATTACCAAACCAGTATCGCTTTTGATGTTGCACTCGGTTATCGAACAGAGCTCCATGCATGATTTATCTAAGCAGATCCAGTACCATGTTCGATTATCAAAACGCTTATTAACACGTTTCATTCTTGAAACGAAGGGGTAAGCGTTCATAAAAATCCCAGTCGACGACGTGTTACGCTTAGTAGTGTAATTTGCATGTAGTTCGAGGTTGAATCTCATCTATGAATCCTGAAGATTCTTGAGAAATGATTTAAAAACGTTGATCTGCTTGTTATACGATAATAAGGAAACTTCAGGAATCATTAGGAATTAGAAAATCCATCGACTTTCGGTAGAGGTAGCTTTCAAGAATCCTTCGATGCTGTCCATGGGATTCCGCTATAGCGAAACTGATAGATAACTCGCGATAAACTTGAGAAATAGTAACTATGGCTACTCCCGTGGTCAGCATAATCTATATAGGAATAATGAAGAAGCGTTGGGCATTAAATGATTAATATCTTTAGGTGCGCGACCGGTGAGGCCTGGCCGAACATCATGTTGTCCTGCATCAAAGGTCGGCCCTGCGACATAAAGGCCGACAAACAAGAACCAGGAGGCTGCGGTTCGAACATCGCGTACGCCTACTTCGTCTCGTTCATCTTCTTTTGTTCCTTCCTCATGCTGAACTTGTTCGTCGCCGTAATCATGGACAATTTCGATTATCTAACGAGAGATTCGTCGATCTTGGGCGCTCATCATCTCGACGAATTCGTGCGGATCTGGGCCGAGTACGATCCGAACGCGACCGGGAAGATCCATTACACCGAGATGTACGACATGCTGAAGAACATGGATCCGCCATTGGGGTTTGGTAACAAGTGTCCGAACAGACTCGCCTATAAGAAGCTGATCAGGATGAACATGCCGGTGGACGTCGACGGGAAGGTGAACTTCACCACCACCCTGTTCGCCCTGATTCGCGAGAATCTTAGCATCAAGATGAGATGCGGTAAGCGGTGTTACTTTCTTTTTTTATTTATTAAAGAGAGGCATGCTGAACGATTCACTGTTACAGCCGACGAGATGAAACAAGCGAACGAGGAACTTAGAGACACGATTAGAAGTATTTGGCCTTTGCAGGCGAAAAAGATGTTGGACATTTTGATACCTAGCAACGAAGGTAAGGATTCTACGATTTTCATCGTATCGTATCGTTAATTAGATATTAAATTTCTTGGTGATGTTGTTTTAGAATTAGGCAGAGATAAGATGACCGTTGGTAAGATATACGTCTGCCTTCTGATACTCGAAAGTTGGAGGACGACTAAGTTTGGTCAAATAAAACCGACCGGACAGGTGAGTGTTCCTCGTCGTTTTCGACCTAAATTTCTCACTCGTACGAAAATGGAAGCCCCTAGCGATATATTTCCTTATTCGAACGAGATACCTCTGCTTTGGCTTTCCCACGATTCATTTGTCGATTCAACGTTTCTATTCATTGACGATTGAAAATTTTCCTTCCAATCAATTACTCTAATCAGAATCGAGCAAACTAAACTCGTGGAAATCCAGTCAGGGATTAAGTTTGAATGGATGTTTGTCGTTGGCTTCTTCGTGGTAGGATTTCACGTGGCCGGTGTGAAGATTAAGTTTCGAATAGAGAACTTCCAAAAATTCCATGTAGCTTCTTGATGACCCATCATAAGCTTAGTATCGCGAAGCTCGATTATTAAACACTTAACCCTTTGTCTTACAATTTTTTTTCTATTTGAGTGAAATAAAATTGGGTATTTGCTAACAAGATAAAAAGAAAAATAAAACAAAGTAAAATAACTAACTTTTTATTTAGTTAATAACTCATCTAATTTTTCTTTTTTTTTTTTAATTTGATTCGATATTATAAGGTAAGGGGTTAAAGCTTGAAGGGGTGAAATATTATGGAAAATAAAAAGTTAAAGATTGAAAAGATGAAATATTATTGAGAATAAAAATTGAAGAGAGTTTTTGAAATAATAAACGCGATTCTAAGCTTCCTTCCCGAGTCCCAACGTTCTTGACGCTATATTACTGTGTGCTCAGTAGTGCTGAGAATTTTTCGACATTAATTATGTATTTGAACGAGTAAAGAAAATTCAAGATTTCTAGACGCATCTCTTTATCTCAGCGTGCCATTTTCCTTGCATAAACGAGATTTTTTCAAGAAATTCAATCGTTAAATAATTGGAAGAAAATGAATTAGGTATTCTTGCATCGTCTCGCTGGGATAAAGAAATCAATTAGTTAATATTTTACTTAACGAACAAGAAAGACGTTCAATCTGTGTCTGTTAAGTTAATTTAGTCAAACGAATCAATATGTGTAGAAGCAGTTTCGATGTCACCCTTCCCGAACGTCACGATTCGAAAGTTGATGCAACCGATTAACGTAGATCTATTTTTCGTTCGATACATCGATTGCTACCTTTTTTTCGTTTAAAACTATGTTCTAATTGTTAAGAAACTGTTGAGAAAAAAATTCGATACTTTAAAATAAAAGTTTAGTAGCACCCGATGAATCGATACGAAACACAAACTATTCATAGAATATTAGGAAGATATTAATTTATTTTTTGAATGAGTTACAATTAGAATATTAGAGAATAATCTGTGTCTGTTGAATTTATAAGTGTTTCCATTAAAGAATTATAGAAAAGAGAGTACGACAACGAGGTTTGAACCTTTGAATTAATGGAGCATAGAATTATTTTATCATTTCTTATTATCATTGTTATTGTTAATTAATGTGTCAATTAGAGTAGGAGTAATCTTAAAGTGGAAATTAATCACAGAACTATATGACAATTTTTTTTTTTTTTATTATACAAACCAGACAAGAGGATTGTTCACGCAGCTATCAATCATCTCTTTGTGTCTTTTCTCTTTGTTTTCCAGAACGATAACGATCTTATCGATAACGATAATGCTGGGCAAAGTCCTGCAGCCCAGGCGGTAGTACTTACTTTTTCTCTTACTTATTATTCTCTTATTATTATCATCTTGATACCGGTTCTTTCGTTTCCATTCATTTTCCTTTTGTACATTCTTTACCATAATTCATTTATCATTTTCTTTCCCATTTTTTTTATGAACACTTTCTTTAACACGTTTGCACGTTCACTGCAAAGTAGAATTATCGAGAAACTTTTCAACTTTTCTTCGTAACATTTTCGAAACTTTTACAAATACAATTTCGTTCCAAGATTTTCAACACTTTGCAGCGAACAATTGACTTATTTCTTGTACATAATACCATTTCTCTTCGTTTGATATTTCAATGAATAATCCGTGCAGAGACACAGTAGCCTGTCGTGTACATAAAATATATATTAGTATTCGTAACGATCGTCGATCGAAAAAGTTGCAGAAAATTAATTTATCAATTAGACATTTGGGCAGTTGTATCTCTGCTCCTTTTTTCCGTCTTGTATATTTCTTTCTATGCATCGACACACACATAGCACACACTGTTTTCTACACTTTTCAAACATCTGTACGTTTCTGTTGGAATTTTCCTTTCGTTCACATTCGTAGACCGTTTGATTCTTCCATCGATTTCTTCGCTGTCACTGAATCACTGACTTGAATCACTGAAAACGCAACTACCGTTGATATGCATCCCTTGCCAGCAAGACAAACCTTAAATTATCTTTACCGGTACAGAAAATTAATGTTTTTACATTTTAAAAAGGACAAATCAACGATGGGTGCGTTAGAAACAAAACTACATTCACACGCTCCAACTTTTCTTCTTTTTTAGGCACTTGACATATATATATATATATCTATATAAATTTAGTGAAAGTATTGTACTATTTACTAGAGCATCTATCAGGTTCACACTATATAGATCTATTAGATAATTCTTTAGTCTTTCCTTTCAAAGAGTTTCCTTTTTATAACAGCACGTTTCCTCTTCAAATAATAAGCAATATTAGTCTAGGATAATACTGTTTGAAACTAGTTGACACCCGTTCAATTTTGTGCATCATCTTTTCTCTTTCGTTTTGCGATGAAACAGTGATATATGAATTATTTTTCTCATCGAATCTTTACAAATCTTGCCGGATCATGCACGAAATTGTAACGTTTTAAGTTCTTTTAGTGATCGTGATCGACTCTTTGCCCCTCGAGAACACGATATAGCTGTATGTAAGTAAATGACCCAGTACGTCGAACCTCGTAGAATGAAACCGACCCGAGAAAAAATGATTGAAGGTACTTTGGTAAATCCTCGAACATAGCTCGCCTTTTGCCTCGAGTATCGTTCCGTTTAATTTAGGTTAAACAGTAGCAACTATCGTCTATTTTCGATTGATCTCTTTTTTAGATCGATAGCCAATCCAAGCCCGTGTCTATGATCGCTAGTATCAGAACGTAGTCGATCTTAGATCGAGCAATAGACATTTCTTCCTTTTTCTCTTCCGCTCCAAGATAATTTCAGAATTACCATTTTTCCTTTTTATACGATACACTGCTTCAAATGTTTATCTTTCTCTAACTTACTTTTTTCTTCTCCTCTCTTTTCTTTAGCCTCCCTACGAGAGCTCTTGATAGTATCGTAGCAAGATCGAGGAACCCACTTCTTATTTTAATTGATCTTTCCCAGCGCGTAGATTGTTATACAATTTCAAGGAGAAGTAACGTTGATGTGCGTTCCTCGAGTTAGACTTTCGGCACCCTTAGATGTACTAGACATTATTTTTCTTCCCGTCTGTCTATTGTACAGGCTGTCTCGAGAAAGGTGTACACTGTGAAAAGGTGAAAATTCACCGTGGCGAAGGAAATCGTGAAATTATTTGCCATTTTGCACCCTGTATTTAAATTGACGGTACAAGTATCTAAGCAAAATGGTAAATGACCTCTTCATTTATTTCGCCATGGAAAATTTCGAATTTTAAAATGGTACGCGTTGTTTGAGACAACCGGTACGTTGACCGAAGACTAGCAGCGTAGCATAGAAATTATTCTTAAGGAACATTAATCGAGTACCGTTTCCGTAGATCCGTTTGCCTTGCTAGTTTCTCTTACGATGGCTTCTGTACCCTCGAACACGATTTTCTTTCAACGAAATACAACCTGTAGTGAATTTTAACTCTGACATACAGACACGAAACAAAACAATAATTACCAGACACGATCAAGTAGTTAGATCTTACAAGTTTTTTCCGCAAAAGATTCGGTGACGGGCATTTTTTATCGAAACGAGCAATGCTGTGAACAACCAAATGTATTTTTTTTCACGATCCAACGAAGATTATTTGCTCGACGAGGAAACGAGTATCGTCCCGATCGTCGCAAATATTTTTCGTTGCCGATCGACGGAAGCCGCAAAGTCTTCCGTGTTTGATATAATTTTCGCTGTAGATAAAGTATCTTCGTGGTAGTAATTTTATAAGCGTTCAAAGTAAATTTGGTAAAAGGTAATTAATTAAAGAGTAGATGAATCTTAGCCGAGAGTGGCGTATCGTAGGCATGTAGATACCTCGAATAAAAACCAACACCCACGTCTAATTATTGTGTGTGTGTACAGCGATGATTAGCTCCCGTCACCTTTGTTCGTTTGTGATTGGCTTCTGTACTCTGTTTGTCCACGACTTGTCCGCATATGTGTATTGGTATATCCTTGAAGAAGAACTCACAAATCGTCGATGTTCATCCTTCTCGTTTCTCGCAAAACAATTCCAAAGTATCAGGAATATGGTAACGTAATCTTTTTTTTTTTTTAATTTTGTAATGCATAATATAAAACGACTAACAAAGAAAGTAACATCGATGGTTGGTGCATCTTGTTGCATGCTTACTAACATTTACATTCCCACAGTGACAAGTAAATTAAGTGTATCTACTTGCATATATATGTATATGATACTTTATGCTCACCCGTAACACTTGACCAATGAATAATGTAATGGTTAACATGTACAGGGTGTTGAAAAAAGGGTTCACAATCTACAGACTAGTGGCAATGAAATAGTGTGGATGAATTTTAAGGGTAGTATCACATTCTTACTTGTTAGATATTTATATTAACATTATTAAAATAATACCCTTTGACGCTTTGATTGCCATGAAAATGAACTAAAACCCTGTCTGAACAACAATTTTATTTTTAATGGTACTTGATTCAAATTAGGTAAGTAAGATTGTCCCTCGCAAATATGGGTAACGTGACGATCAAAGTGTCAGACTGTAAATAAGAGGTAAGAGGACACGTAGAACACTATTTGTAAGTATAAAAGTAAGAACATGATCAGTTCAACGAGTGCTACCTAACATTTAAAACTAGAACTCTACGTTTGAACACCCTGTACACATAAGATACAGCTTTTAACAAACATATACAGGCTTTATCCGAGTGATATTCACCGTCACGAATAAATTCGTCACTTTTTACTATAACTTTTCGATATTCAAAGTGTTTCTGTATTCTCTATTTTCGCACACGCAGCGTGTATTTTTTCTGGCCGTTAGAAGAGAAGATGTTTCTTTATTTCTTAGCGATACTCTCAAGTGCACCATCACGATACTCTTTTTCTAGCATGGGCTTTGTCTTTTGAAAAAACTAAAATTTTATCAACCGTTTCTCTTTTAATACTCGAAAGCACTGAAGAAAGAGAGAAAGAGAGAGAGAGAGAGAGAGAAGATGAAGAAACGAAAAAAAACGAAAGCCTGTATGTGACTGTACATACTGTACGTGTTATATAAAATGAGTGGCTTGGGGATCGAACGATCGTCTAATGGTCGATCGACGAGACAAAAGCAAAGACCATTCACGTAGAAAGAAAGTATGGTGCAGCAGTTCTGATAGTCGGTATGGTTTCGCACGTTCGAATTTAGAAATCGGCCTTCCTCGACTGCATACTGGACGCGACGGCTGTAAATCATACGGGAAATAATCACGGGATCGGAAGTAGGGCGAACAGCCTGGAGCCGGTGGTACGGGCAACGCCGGAAACGAAGCTCGATCTGCACAAGGAACACATGGAGGAAGACGACGGGGCCCTTGGGGTCCTCGCAGCCGGCGAGCACAGACGTCAACGTAGCATCAGGTATTTGCAGACGTTTTCCCCGATCGATTCGGACAGTTATTAATCAATCGATCACGCTTCTCTGATTTCAGAAATAAAAAGGTGAACTGGAAGATGTCCCACCAGTACGATATACTAGGCAGCAGCGGAGAGAGTAGCCAGGGAGGGGGTGGGTCTGGGGTTGTACCTGTAGTTAATGACGAGGATCGCGCCCCCGAGCTAGAGCCATTGCTGGCTGAGGTGCCCTCCCAGCAGGATCAAAACTACTACTACCACCATCACCATCACGACCAATACTACGATACCGACAATGATCTATACTATGACCATCACCACCACCACCACCACCATCACCATCACCATCATCATCATGCTCACCGACCACCCTCGTATTATCAACACCAGAATACCTACGCACCTCGCTCCTCGATCCGTTACCACAAGGTCTCTCGGCTCAATTAAAATCCACCACGATATCGATTTAAACCCGCCCCTCGATCGGTCGCGATAGAGAACCAACAATTATCGCCTCGTCGCGTATCCGGCCCTCGTTGGCCTCGTCCTAACTCGTCTTCCTTTCCTTTGATCAATTTTTTACTTGTCGCCTTGTTCGGTTCGATCATCTCGAGGCTACGTGTCTGGATCGCGCTAGATCGAGGATACTCGCTTCGATCGGGATGCGTATAGATTTTTTTTTCTTCGTGCTGTTAGATCGTTTCGAAAGACAATTTGTACATAGATCTAAATGTGACGTCACGCTTTCGTAGATTTAGATCGTTAGAACGGGTCGTCGTTCGTCGCCGGTTATCATCTACGCGGGGCTTAGTTTAGCTTTCAGAAGAAAATCCTGATAGACGGAATCGAAATCGCCTCTAGATCGGCCGTTCGTTTTCTTTCGTTATCGTATCACGTTAGATTAGGGTAGAATCTAGATGATTAGAGCCGCGTTCGGTCGATCGAAGCATCGCGCGCGATATTCGACATTCTAATTCGTTCAAGATCGATTTATCAAACGATTACGTTTTTGCTATGATGCCAGTAGCGAGTAGAAGGATCCTGAATCGATCTTGAACGATGTTCATTAGCGTAATTGTAAATACATCGATTAGAACCGACCTTGTCTAGAACACCACCTAGATGATATCCCCACATCCACGCCTCATTATATCCAAAATACGAAATTTTTTTAGCAAACGTTCGACGCGGACGTTAGAGATAACCACCCCCACCTATTTCTCCCTAGCTGCTTTCAGCCTTGAGATTATACATTATACATTATGTATTCTCGAGAGTAACGAAGCATTCGCGTTAGCGCTGCGACTGCCTCGTTCTCCGTGTGTCTTGTTGTTCGTTTATATAGTTCCATGTATGTCCGTTTCCCGGGTAAGTAATGTGAACTACCTTTGAAACGAGTCTGAAAGGTGCTCGAAGGTAGTGGAATCTCGCACTCGTTTCTCTTTTTCTTTTCTTTTTTTCTTCACCGAACTACCTCCAAACGAGATTACCGCTCAGCTAGCATGTGCATGCCTGAGAAACTTTGATTGCATGCTTCTACACGCGCCGTACAATGATGTGCCTGTATTATCTTTAACGATAATGTTCTTCTCATCGTCGAGATTGTCTGCCGTTTATCGAGAGATATCAGTCAAGCAAGGATCACGATTGATCTCTCTGCACGATCTTTCGGTCCAAAATTTTACACGTTTTACGACGTAACTGAGATTTAAGGATCGAACGAAAGATGGTTCGTCGGTGATTTAAATAGTTTATTCGGCCGGAAAGGTCGCGCGGAGGTTCACGTTTTCGGAGGCAAAAGGCGGTCTCGAGTCGAGAATGATAGAATTTGTTCGAGGCGTGAATCGCTAGTAACGAAGGCAAAGAATCGACGACACCCCGAATCTCCTTAAAATTCCTGATCTATTGCGTTCAAATCGACGAACGACTAATCGACGAGTATGTTGGTTTAGATGGAGCTTCAGGACGTCGTAGTTAGCGACTCCCGTGCCGGTAGCCTAGAGAGTCTCACCCACGCCGGTGAGAGACTTCATCCACCCGTGCATCCAGTCAGACACCCATCGCGTTCACCGAGTCTAAGGTAAAGAAAAGTTTGTGGCAAGAATATTTTTAATAAAAAATTCCACCGATCGTGGATCATGGGTGACGCGAAGTTCGATATTGGATCAATAACGTTCTTGTCGTTTTCAGGAGACACGGATCACCAGTCGTACACGGGTCGCAATCGCCAAGGCGACCAAGGTACGACCATCACAGTCATTATTACCACGAAGGACCAGGATTCAGCGACACGGTTAGCAACGTCGTCGAGATTCAGAGACACACGCATCATCCCCATTCGTCACAGTACAATCATCGGCACAGGATTCGAGGTACAAGACAGCAATGATAATTTCGACGAAGAAAACACGGGTGCAACGATAAGTCCTTTTTACGAAATCCAACCTACGAATCTCTCTTTCCGTTCTTCATTTATTTCACTTCAAACCACTTGTACGTTTTATAGCACAATATTCTGAATGTTTTTCGTGTAACTTTCAAACGAGAGATTCGTAGTTACGATTTTGAAGAAATATGAATGTCGCTATAAATGGTTTACTCGCAAGAGGCAGAAAGCTCTGTGTCACTCGATGTAATACGTTTCTTCGTTTTGTTCTGTTATGCGCCTACAAAGACTATTACGACCACTGCGACTATTACGACGATGGTAATTTCTTTCGCAACTCCGTTTGATTCCCTGTTCCGAAGCAAATTTTATTACTACATACCTTCGACTGCGATCGTTTGGCTTTCCACATTTCTTCTTTTTCTTCCCTATATCTGCCCACAGACACAACAGCAAACAGACACACAGATTAACGCTTTGTTTTAGCCGTACACCTATTAGACACGTCGAGCAGCAAACGAGCGTGTTCTTATTTTTCATTTTTCTTTTTTCCTTTTCTCTTATCGGCTATGTAGAGAATTTCTTTAAGTCGTGCATTCGTTGCGCACGTGTTGAACACACACGCTTCCGATATCGAGCACTCTCGCACCCTCGCACCCTCTAGACACACGCCTAATCTTACGTTTCTCCAAGATAAGTAGCGATACAGTTTCGATGGAACCACGTAGATCGATTTGGTTCGTAGAGATCGCACGTACCCTGAAAATCTCCTTTGACGAACCTTTCGTATCTCTAGAAAACTAGCACGAGGCATGTCGATCGATAACAATAACCTTGCTGCACCTTTCTTCGACTACTTTCATCGATGATCGATTAGACGTTGAACCGCTAATCTCAGACTCAGACTCGTATAATAATCAGACATTAATAGTTAGCGCGTCTCCATACGAACGACGTTTTTTTCTTCCCTTCGAGCGATTCCTCTCTGTTCAGTCCCCGTCCAGATTTCTCTGAAAATTTCCTAGGACAACTAGAGTATAGTGAGCCATAAGCGATGTTAGGAACGCGAACACTAATCGTGACGTTCACCAGGTCCGTGGAGCGCTTCGACCAGTCCAGCGAGGACACCGAGTCCCATTCATCACATCGACAGAGGACGTGCCTATGGAACGACCAGTCTTGAGCAACGCTCGAGAAGTCCAAGTCCTATCGGTGGTCGTCAACCTGCCCATCCGCACCAGCATTATCATCGACATCATCCTCATCAGCACAGTTACCCGGTGTTGGTGACCAGACGAGTACCAGGTCGCCAATTACCACCTACGCCTGACAAACCGTCGACCTTGCAACTGAAGAAACAGGCGAACATCAACTTTCCAAAGTTGAACGCCTCGCCGACCCACGGCTCTCACATGCCGGCTGCACACGTGCCGTTACCGGCCACCATGCAGCATCCGCCTCCAGGACACGTGCCACCGATGCAACCGAGCCACTATCCGTTAAGCTTCGAGCAAGCTGTGGCTATGGGTCGCGGTGGTCGTCTTCTCCCGAGTCCTGTACCCAACGGTTACAAGCCTCAACCGCAGGCTAAACAGAGGACACCCAGGTGAACATCTTGATTCATCCTTAATTCTCACATTTCCTTCGTTTAGAAATATTAACGTAGAATGTTCGTTTTCGACACGCACACAGGTCGAGACACTCGGACAGTGACGAAGATGACTGGTGCTAGCCAAAGTGGGACCCTGGACGGTGGTCCGATGACGTGGACGCCCCCAGGCGTCTTTGGGTTTGCGCGTGAATCTTCCGTGTACCGGAAGGCGCATTAATCTAGCCGCGATTACGTGAACGAAGATCGATCGACTGGAAGCTCCGAGAAGCCGATCGATGCGTTTGCTCGAGGAATACGCGTACAACGTGAGTTGGAACACGGCCAGTTACAATTTCACGGCAAACGAGAAACGGAAACCACTCTCCGGTGGTGAAGAAGCAGAAGAAGAGGAAGAAGAACAGAGATACTAAGCGACTGAAAAGGGAAGCTACATCGGATAATCGTTACAGGGACAAACGAAACAACGTACTATAACGAACGATCGTCGAGGCAACAATCCAAGTGAGTGCGTGCCACGAAACGACGATCCCCGATTCTCGAACGTAAACGTATGAAAATTTAGAATCTTTTTCAGCCGCCCAAATCGTGCGGCAATTCTCGCGGATAAAGTCCCAAGTGTCGTCTACACACACGCCAGATGCTACGGAACTTTCCTCTCGATCTTCGCGCGAGACTTTTCTTTCGTCTATACGAACTTCGAAGCTTCCTTCGCTGTGTGTTGTTCAATCGACGGACCGAGCCGAGGAGGATTCACTTTTTATACGATTATACCAAATTGAAACCACTCTGAAAAATGGTCGAGCGTGTACGCTTACAAATCCGTTTTCGCGCTATCAAATTTTTCACGCTCTTAGAGAAGTCTGTCGGTTGCGCGCGAACCAACCCTCTTAACCGTTCGAGAACAGCAACGAGTAAACCACCGTCACACGTTGGAAACCACGAAGTATATATATCCTCTTTCGAACAGTCTCGTCTTGATTTCTCTTCAAAGCTGCCTCGAACCACGTCGGACACGATTCGTCGTCGAAGTTACAGGTACAGACAGACAGTGATCAATAGCGTTTCGTGTTTAAAGAAATTGCAAAGAAAACGAAGACACCGAGCGTATGCTCGATTATCATTCCTCGAGGGTTTGTACAAGAATCGTGGCTATCGACGACTGGTTGCGTTTTAATAACCGCGATTTTTGTATCGGTCTAACGTTGTCTTTTTGCTTTTTTCTTTCACGAACGTTCATCGCCTTCGAAGTAAAGCGAACGCGATTCGAGAGGCCGTAACTTTGTCTCGTAGCTGGAAGGTTGAAAACGTTGAACGATACATCGAACTAAATAAAATACGTACGTAGAAATTTTTACCTAAATCGGCAGAGTTTTTCAGTCCTCTGATCGCGTCGGAGAGGAAGGCGAACGATCGCGGTGTCGTTGTTCCGAATGAGAACTGTCGCAGCTCGGTGCCAACGAGAAATCGAGGAGGACGAGAAAAAGAGATGGAGGAACGAAAGGGTTCAAGTGCAATGCCGCGACGAATAATGGGAGGGCAGAAAAAGGAAAGAGATATAAAATCCATCAGCACTTGTATATTATCGCATAATTTTGACTCGAAACGTTTACCATCGCTGCTACTACCGTTTACTATCACCTACCACCTACGTGAAAGAACTGTTCCACTACTATTGTTACCGCTACTAACTTATAACTACGGCTACTACTACTACTAATTACTAATACCACCACTATTACCGCTATTACTATTACTAATACAATTTACTACCAGTCGATACTACCGCTACACTACTATTACTACTATTTACTACTACAACTACTACTACCATTGTTACTATTACTATTACCACCACCAAACACCACAACCACAACCACTACCATTATCATTGCCACTTCTGTCACCACCATCGTCTCTACTATCGCTGCTGCTGCTACTATTACTAACTACTACTACTGTTACTATTACTACCGCTGCTATTTACTACTGAACTACTACGGCTACGATTATTACTACTACTTACTATTACTACTACTATTAATAGTATTATTATTAATACTTTTACTAACGCTACGATTACCGAAACGTTTTAATAAATTACAAAACATCGCTACTACCGTTGTTACTGTAAAACTAATATGTACGATTAGGTGTACGGATCGCGTGGAGAAGAAAAATCTGGTAATTGCATCGATCAATCGACACACAAACATTCACGCGACACATACATACACACGTCGTTTCAAATTCATTGGTACGCTTTAACGTAAGGTAATTACAAATAGAGCAAGCATACGTACAGGGTGATTCATAACGTATGGGTTTCGCATTAGTGGAATAAGTGTTTGAAATTTTCTTTATCCTAGAAGCGTAAGGGAACACGTGTACGATGATTTTCTTAGTCGTTCGCAAAGGGGTAAATTTAACTTTCTGTTCCATCTATCTGTTTTCGATTAATCGATGCATCTGTAGGAATTTTTCTCATTCTTTTTTTCTTTTCGTGTTTTATATTGCTCCCACTCATTATGAAACAACCTGCACTCTTACATGTATACATATACCACGCATACGTTACGTTGTAAAAGAACATTAAAACGATCGCTAAATAAACGCGCGCGTAGCCGAGTCGGGTTTAAATATGTAATTATAGAAGCAGGAGATTTGGAGGATATAAAAAAAGAAAAGAAAAAATAACAAAGAAGAAACACGTGTAACATACTGCCAATTGTACGGGGTGTTTTTCAACGGAAACACACACACGAGATACATGAGTGTACATTGTATATATATACATATAAAAATTAATGAACGTCGTCTTTTTTCGCAGCACGTATACACAGACATCTTATTATACGTAGGTACATGTAAATAAATACGTCGAAAAAGAGAGAATGAGAGGGATGAAAGAAAATTTTAATCGAAGAACGAATTCAATCATTTTTCTTTCATTTTTTCTTTTTCTTTTTTAATTTATCCTTTCTTAACACCACGTTTCACGCTTGCCCGCGTTAATCTGCGCGCGTGGATTTCGACTGAACACGTGGAGATACATAGAACTATCGTTGATCGATTAATTAGTTGATTAATTAAAGTAACTATGCGGAAGGGATGAAAGTGTGGCTGCGTGCGATTGCGTGCAAGAGGCGAAAAGAGGATACACTTGTCGACAATATGCGAATGCTACTTGTGTTTCGAGGTTCTCGGCGATCGAACACGTTTCTTTCTTATTGGCTCTTGCTGATCTTTCTTTAGTTCGTATATTTTGCGTCGTTCAAAAAGGAATCGAATATGAGAACAGTGATTCGAAGATTTCTTCCTACGAGACTGGAATTTATCGTTAGACTTGTAACGTTTGCTTTTATCTTTGACTTCGATCATTTTTAATATTCTGTTTCGACCAATTTCTCTATGATTTAAACGTCATTTTTATACGGTAACAACCTACATCGCCCTTTTAAGTTTAGAAATAGTGAACGATATTGCACAAATTCTTTTTATATTTTCAATTCGCGAACAAATCTGCGAATCACTGTACGTAATTAAGGCGCGTCGACGATGGTATACACGTATTGTACTGCAAAGCGCCGAAGAAAGTGCCATTACGGTAAACAAAGAGGGGAAACAAAGTAAAAGAAACATTCCCCATCCCCGTAAAATAAAATATAAAAAGAGTAAAAAAAAAAAAGAAAAATAAGTAAAAGCACCGAGAATCTCGCGTGTGTGCGTGAAGTGCAGTCGGTGCTGTTGGTGGTTTTTTCCCTTAAGTGCTTTATAAACTCAATCGTATTTCGTATCGTCGCTGTAAAAAGAATACATAAGTGTAATAAAAGGAGAACAGACACAAAGATACAAGTTGAGGAGTCGAGCTCGCCATGTACCAACGTTTACGCTCCTCGAACTCGGGGATTACAAGTGAAAAGATCGATCATTATTCCGACGCTTTTGTTTCTCTTATTCAAATTCAGAAAACGATCTTTTCTCTTCTTTTCTCCAGCACTTTTGTTTCATTTTTGTTAAAATAAAAGAGAAAAAAAAGCAAGTGAGAACAATCGAAAACGTTTATAACATTTAATACAATAATATATCTATTCAGTGGTCATTTTAGTGTAACAAATAAACGTGTTACACGATTAATTTCCTTTTTTCTTTTCTTCCGTAAAAACAAAAGCGTTGGAAATTGCGGGAGCGAGGCGAGGGCGAAATATTCTTAAAAAGCTGTTTTTCTGTGATAAAATCCAAAGAATCTAACCGGATCGACGGACAATTTTGTCGCGCCGGTATGCGTTCGTAGCGATGTCGAGCAAGAAAAAAGAGCCAGCGTGAGAATAAAATAAACGACGGAGGGTAGGAATGAATGATCGCGAAAAATAGAAAGAAAGAAAGGAAACGATGGGAGGATCGACTGCCGAAAGTTGCGTAGAAAAATAAAAGAAAAAAAAAAAAAGAGGTAATGATTTTTGCGCGTGCAAACGGTGGAAGTCGAAATCTTGAAACTTACAAAAAAACTCTGTAGCGTCGTAAAGGCAAAGCATATGACCAAGCTCTTAACGATGACTTAGCGTAAAAAATAAACCACAAAAATCGTAAATATAAATATATACATATATACATATACTAGATCTAATTAAAGTATGTACGTATAAATATAAGTATATAAACCTAAACTACATTAATTCATTTGAAAGCTAATTAACGCGAACGCGAGCAAACCAGGATGAAGCTAAACTTTCAAACAGCGATTCGATAATAATAACGTAGTAATAACCTTATCGTAACGATGAGGCTGATTAAGTTAATTCTTATCTAGCGGTATACAACAACAACAACAAAAGAAGATAAAAAATAAACGGTGAAAGAACAATCTCGTTTAAACAAAAAGACAAAGCGATGAATGATATAACGATTGCGTTCGATTAGAAAAGAGCATACACGAACAACGATGCTGATCGACCTGACAAAGGGTGAAAATAAAAATGTTTATTAAAGATAGAACTCTCTCAACACCTTGCGGAAGAAACGAATCGTGTATTTTAATATAACTGATTCAATTGCAATTTTCTCAAATTTACTAATATTCTTTCTATTTCACGATATAAAAGTAGTTTAATCTTCTAACGAATTTTCGAAATCGTCTAATAGCTACCTAATCGTCGGAATGAAATAATTTTGATGCACGAAAGGGATCGGGCGTTTTCTCCGCAAGATGTTGAGACTTTCATGAAAGAGAAACGAAAATAGTGAAAATATTATTTATGAGGAAAGAGAAGAGAGCTTGAAATCGCATAAAGAAAAGTTGAGAAATGGGGCACGTTCTACCCCACGGCTACTATAGATGAAAATAAAAAAAAAAAAAACCTAAGAAAACCAAAATGCTTCTCGGCTCGTTCGTAGAAAGTATAAAACCGAACTCGATGATCAATTTCCATCGGTTCTAGAAACAGCAGAAAACTTCGAAGGATCATTTTAGTGATCAAAGACGAATTCCATGTACGATTTCTCATTAAAATTCATTTATTTGTAATATCGATTAAGCGAGCAAAGGTGTAATAACGACGACGAAACGTGGGCGTTTAATGGAGTAACACGTAAACAAAAAAAAAAAATTACTACGATTAAGTTTTTCTACTTATCTATATATATATATATATATATATATATATATACCATAATATGTACACGTATAAGAGACACGTGTATATGCATTTTATATCTATGTATTTATATATAAATACATACATATAAATATATATATGTAAGTGGTATGAACGAATAAATGAAAGCGTACGTATTTGACACTGAACGCCCTGTCGATAATAAAATAATCTCGAAACGAAAGTGAGAGGAAAAATGTGAAAAAAAAAAGAAGAAATAATTAAAAAAATAGGGAGAAACAGAGAGACAGAGAGAAAGATAGAGAGAATGGGAGAGAAAGGGAGTGAGAATGGAATAAACACTTCGTCGATAGAGACCTCTCGGCTCTTCGATGAGCTGGAGCTCCGTAGAGTTTCATACTTTTGCAAATAATCGAAATCGATACACTATTACACCCGATCTCTCTATGTATAAAACAAAAATATATATATACGTATAAATATACTTGAACGGTTTGAAGGAAAAACGTTATGTCTTGATCCAAGTCTGAATCTTGTTCGTTCGGTCACGCGTGGTGCAGATGGAACACGATCGTAAATGATGTGCGTGGATGTCAATTTTTTCATCTTCACGAATTATTTCTGTGCATCGGTTTCGTGTACCAGTCAAATCCACAGGGTAAACTCTTCCTCGAGTCGAGGGTACCGAGTCCATCGAATTTAAAACTCTTCGAGGAGCAACTCCACGAAACTGGATACCCTCAAATGATTTCCTTCCCTCTGTCGAAATTCTACTTTTGCTCGACTCGAGGATGAGTTCTGTCCTCGTGGTGAAACAATACTCTATGTACAGAAACAGCGTAAATGTATTTTCGAAGTAGCGAAAGCTTTGCGTAACTCGTGAAAGGGATGGGTGAACGGTAGTAAAAGTAAAGGGACGAAGAAGAGAAAGGGATGAAAGTCGCGAATCATTAAATAGTAACAAGAGTTGCCTTAATATTACACGTTCACAAAACTAGGATACGCTAACGAACGAGCGGATAAAAGAGATAAAACGATAGAAGCCTGGATTAAACAGACGCGTCTTTTTCGTCGTGGCCATGCCGGGTCAAATTGGCCGCAATTACAAATTTCCCATCATCCAGCATTACGACAGAGTTTTTTTTCAATTTCTTTTTGTCGGAACAAATTTATCATACGCTACTGTTTCGCGAACGGCGATCCCTGCAAAATACAATTTTCATGATTTCCTTTACTCGGCGCTTCGTCCATCCCATTATTCTAACTCATTGATCTTCATCAATTGGCATGTTTGAAATTTTCGCGATGATTTAATTGAATCATCGACTCGGTATCGAGCGCGCGTATGAAATGAAAAAGAGATTACAAGAAATACAGAAGGAATAGCGAAAAGAAATCAACGCGGAAGGCAAAGCAAAATGCGTAATTAAGGGATGAATGAAAAATTGACACGTTGACTGTTGCAATTACTCGAAACCTTACGATTATTTTATCTTTTGATTTCAACTTGCTCCCTTATATAATATTATTGCTACTTTAGATTTCCTCTCGTTCCTTTTTCTTTTGATTATCAAATTCATGGTCCCGGGAGTCAACGTGTTAAATAACGATACTGAAGAAAAGAGCAAGAGATAGAGAAATTATTTGTATGTATGGGAGACAAACGAATGGGCGTGTGCGAATGCGTGCGAGTGAAAAGAGAAAAAAGAAAAATCTGTAGAAGTTTAAATAGTCAGGCGTACCATTGTTATAAACTTTATGTAAAGAAGGAAAACGAAGTGAAGAGGAAAAAACAACCCATTGAAAGCTTTAACTTTGACTAAACTAACTTTAAAAAGGGTATAGCGATATAATTCAGTGAGTGCTGCTGCCAGTTGTATGAATGGCGAACGATTGGCGGTCGATTCTGCATGAATTTATTACTGATGATCGATAAACATATATATATATATATATATAAATATACATATAGTTTAATCTACCTCGATGTAATTCATTCGTGTAAACGAGCATCGAAATTCGGTTCTTTCCTTATGATATTGTTACAATCTCGAGAGAGCATTTCGTCGCGCAATATCCCGCCAATCTTCGCGTTATTGTAAACTTACTGTATATTACTTATACATATATATATATAATATATATATATATTATATACATATACATAGATGTATGCATACGTGAAAATGCAAACAAGAAACATTCGTTTTTTCTCAATGAACGCAGACCGAATGCAGATTGTACCTTTATACGTATTCAAAATTTCGCGCGTCTGGTTCGCGTCACGTCGAAGAACACAATTGATCGAGAACGATGTTTAAAAATGGGAAGCAAATATCCTTTTCCACGATCGAACGAATCCATTTTTATCGACGAAAGAATGGAGTAATTTAACCCCTATACGCACTAGCGAAACATGTATATGTCAAAGAAAAATTCACGCTACGATAAGTATTTCCACCATCGAAAGATCCTTTTTCGCGTGTTCGTCGTGACGCGAACGTTCCATTGTATTATTTCTCTTCTTTAATGAACGCTAAAAAGTATTCTACACGTGCGAATGAATCTGCCAGTGAAAAATTGTGTGTTGAAAAGAAAAATAATAAGAAAGGGAAAAACTTGATTATTCTCTGAATCTACGAAAACGATCGGTTCGGTGTCGAGCGTGAATGTGCGTGAAAAAGGAAAGGAGTGAAAGTGTGTGAACAGAAAGAAAAGGTAAACATGCATTATTACTTATGTATTATGCAGTAAATGAGAGAAAATACCTACCTTATACATATATATAAATATTATATATATACATAGCTAGTTCAATTTGCAAATTAGTGTGTATCGTCGCTTCGAAATGCCCAGTCATTACTCGCCAGAATCCAAAACCCAACATACCGATTTCAAGTTCATTCTTTTTTTAAGGAAAAAACCAATAAAATAATGTGTTAAAATATTTCAAAACAGCTGTGTATTTTACTCGTCAAATCGCTTTGACGAAACATAAATGCAATTTAACTTATTAGAATTAACATTACCTATTTGATTAAATCGCTAGCTAAGAATGCTTATTTTTATATTTTACAATTGATTTACAAATTAAAATGTTAGATACTATTTAATTGCAAAATCAAATCGTCCATTAAAAAAGTTTCAAAATTCGAGGCCAGCATCATCTATACAAAAGTCCCTAAAACTACTCGATAACTTACCGATCGACATTTTGAAACAGAAATACTAACGCTAACTATCGGAAAGCAGTGGAAGCTACCCGACAATTTACCCATTGTGGAATGATTGGTCGATAAGTCGGTCAGTAGTTTCCGCTGTCTTCCGATAAGTAACACTAGGGTTCACCGAAGAAAAGTTGGCCCGAAATATTAATATTTCTTTCCAATTGGTATCTTAATGGAACGTGTTGATTCTATTACATCTGTGTGCCTCGCCTATTATTTTATCCTTTTATTTATTATTTTATCCCTCTTCATGGGCCTCGGCTCAATCTTCCCAGTTATTTATTATTTTTTTGTCTTTAAGGGCCTCACGAGGCCCAACCCTTTATCACTGCATCCCTTACATGTCTGTACCCTTAACATCCCTGTATCCCTTATATCACTACATTTCCTATATTCCTGCATCTCGTATATGTCGGCATTCCTTATACCTCGGCATCCCTTACATCTCTGTACCCTTTATATCTCTGTATCCCTTACACTCCTGAATTCTCCCTGCATCGCTTGTATCCTTCCAATCCTTATAATAAATATATTATTAATATAATAATATATTATAAATAATATACTTATGGCCACTGGTTCGATTAAAGGTACGTAAAGGTAAGTAAAGGTAAGTAAAGTCTCGTGAAAAATAATTTTAAATTTAGTTCCTTTTTCCAAAACCAGATGGCGCTGATTCGACATCGAAATTTTAGTTCACATTTTTGCCGCTAGAGGGCCAAAAATTGAGCAAGGTTTAGTTCCTTTTTCCAAAACCAGATGGCGCTGATTCGACATCGAAATTTTAGTTCACATTTTTGCCGCTAGGGGGCGCTGTTTTCGAAATTTTCGCGAAAAAAAGAACCAACTTACCTTTACTTACCTTTACTCGAAGCAGTCTTTGTAATATATTTATTATAAGGGATGCAGAGATGTAAGGAATGTAGGGATGAAAGGAGTGAAGGGATGAAAGGAATGTAGGGATGATAAGAATGTAGGGATGGAAAGAATGTAGGGATTTAAGGGATGAGGAGATGTAAGGAATGTAGGGATGGAAAGAATGTAGGGATTTAGGGGATGAGGAGATGTAAGGAATGTAGGGATGGAAAGAATGTAGGGATTTAGGGGATGAGGAGATGTAAGGAATGTAGGGATGGAAAGAATGTAGGGATTTCAGGGATGAGGAGATGTAAGGAATGTAGGGATGAAAAGATTATAGGGATGAAAAGAATGTAGGGTTGAAAAGAATGGAAGGATGTAAGGGAACAAGGAAAGTAAAGGAATTCCGCAGGGGTTCGGGGCTGGGGCCCCGGTCTCCACTGTACGCGGTCCGAGGAGGGCCGGCATCGGGTGTGGCCCCCGATGTCGGCGGAGTTTGGAACATGGTGGAGGGTCAAAAGACCCTCCCTACCACCCTAGTGTAGGTCACCGTGGTGGTTTTAGTGGGTAAAAATCCCACACTACCTCCGGCCCCTCCCCAGAGGGGCTGAAGGTGTCTTTCTGAAGATTTCCACCACGTTAAAAAAAAAAAAAAAAAAAATATGATATTTAAGGGTTGCACGAATGTAAGGAATGCTGGGATGAAAGGAATGCAGGGATGTAAGGACTACCGAGATGGCCTTGACCTATAATGAGGGATAAAATTATATAAATAACTGGAAGAAGTAAAATAAATGGGATCCTCGGCTGAGACTCGGAAGAGGAATATAGTCGTAAATGTTATTCCCCTTCGATGAGCTTATTTAATAAACAAAAAGAAAGAAATGAAGTAAATTGAATAAACTCTGAAAAAAAATTATACTTATTGTGCCCTCTTCATACGGACCTGATATCATATTCGGATATTAAGGAGCTACAATTATTTATTATAAAACAAACTTGTAAATAATTAAAAAGTTATTCACTCACAAACAATGAAAATGATATATTTGTAAATCACAAACGATTTCCAATCAAGTACAGTTATTCGTTGTCACAAAATCTGTTTATTATTAAAAATGACTAAAATGTTCCGGCTCACATCATGATTGAAATAAAATTGCTAATTACAAAAGAATTAATTTGTTACAAATGTTAAAAATAGACACACAATCAATTACAAACGATTTACAAATGAAATACACTAAGAAACATTAAAAATAATCATATTTTATAATTCCTTACGGTTAGCTGTATGTAGGTTACTAAAATTTTATCGTCTTGGGGTTCTGAGGACCCCGAAGCAGTGTGGATGCTGCATACTAAAACTATTCTGTCTTGGGGTTCTAAGAACCCCAAGCACCGACGATTCTGTATATCTAAATTATATTGTCTTGGGGTTCTAAGAACCCCGAGTACCGACGATTTTGTATACCTAAATTATATTGTCTCGGGGTTCTAAAGACCCCAAGCACCGACGATTCTGTATATCGAAATTATATTGTCTCGGGTTTCTAAAGACCCCAAGCACCGACGATTCTGTATATCTAAATAATATTGTCTCGGGGTTCTAAGGACCCCGAGAACCGACGATTCTGTGTACCTAAATTATATACTCTGGGGGTTCTAAAGACCCCAAGCACCGACGATTCTGTATACCGAAATTATACTGTCTTGGGGTTCTAAGAATCCCGAGTACCGACTATTTTGTATACCTAAATTATATGGTCTCGGGGTTCTAAAGACCCCAAGCATCGACGATTCTGTATATCTAAATTATATTGTCTCGGGGTTCTAAAGACCCCGAATCTCCGATGATTCTGCATACCGACATTATGGTATCTGGGGTGTCAAGAACCCCAAGTAAGTAGCGAAATATAAGACCTAAAAACGAACAAATCGTGAAACTCACTTGTTCGGAATAGTGATGGGTTTGACCGAATCTAGCGAAATATAAGAACGAAAAACGAACAAATCGTGAAACTCACTTGTTCGGAATAGTGATGGGTTTGACCGAATCTAGCGAAATATAAGAACGAAAAACGAACAAATCGTGAAACTCACTTGTTCGGAATAGTGATGGGTTTGACCGGATCTAGCGAAATATAAGAACGAAGAACGAACAAATCATGAAACTCACTTGTTCGAAGTGATGCATTTGACCGAAAATAGAGAAATATAAGACCTAAAAACCAACCAATTTGCGAAATAGTAATTGCAAGATAGTGATGGATATGACCTATATAGTGAAAGATTAGACCTAGAGAGAGTATAAAACATTGAAAGAAGAAAATATCAGAATATACTTAAACTCATTTCTACTTACCTGTGACCTGGGTATACTTGAAAACCTAGAAGAGAATATAGTAGGATACTTACCTGAGTTTGCATACCGACATAATGGCATCCAGGGTGTCAGGGACCCTTAATTAAAATGTACAACCCATAAACTTTCTATAGAAAAATTAAAACCTCTGTAACTTTTGAAACCAACAGTTTTGAACTAGTTCGTTCTTATATTTCACTTGTCGGTATTATCTACCGGTATTACCTACAGCAAATTAAACAAACGCAGAAAATGGAGCGTAGAAAAACCGAACGAGGTGCGGTAAGAGAGGGACTGGTAAAACAGGCACGATTGTCATACCGGCTGTGTTCTGTACATGCAGCCCTAACTGTGCCTGGGGATGTCTGGGACCCCAAAATGCTGACTCGAGTTTAAATTTCTCGTTTTGCAACATTGTTGCACGTACAGAATGCAGGAATGTAAAAGATGTAGAGATGTAATATGGTAAATCAAATAAACCCAAAAAGGAATCCACGTAGATCCGCACCTATAAGCCTGAGAAGGTCGCATTCCGTTCTAGATTTTAGGTGGAACTTCTCATATTGAGAAGTGATTACTGTTTTAATTAAACGATGTAGAAATAAGGTATTAAACATGAATAACGTAAAACAATTGTATAAATAGAACCCACATTATTTTTGAGCGTTTTATTAAGTTTACCATGATTTTAATCGATACAATGAGTTCTGTGGTATACTGTCGTATACATCGAAACGTGGCTTCAACTTTCTTTCCATTTCTATTAATTATACAAAACTTTTCGCTATATATTACACCTCTGAACAATTAGAAATCATGTCCGAAGAATATCGAAATAACATCTCAATATGTTTGAACTTTCTTTAACACGTTACATATAAAAGATCAAAGTTCTTAAAAGAAAAGAGCAAGTGCCTTCATGAAGGTAGAGGAAAGTAAGGTGAAATCTCGTTTGATGTTGTGAAACATAAATGCAGTATTAAATCAGCGTCGACTTACGCCTCGAGTAAATTTCATGGATGATCTTCGATTAACTCGAAACGAAACTGGATGATTTTAGAGAAAAGGATCGAGCGGAGGGGGTTTTGCAAGGAATATGAATATATAATATTTTATATCGTGTATCCATAAATGTTAAACGTTATTTCTTATTCTTTTTTTTTTTCTTTCATCTTATCAGCCGTCGTATTCTCGACTCGTTTTCATTTCTTTTATTAAATGTTACGTAGAGCTTTATAAGGGACGCCTAAAGCCGCTCTCACACTGAACCTTAGGCGTTTTTTTTGTCGTATACTAGCTGTGCCAAATGCACTTGTACTGGTCGCATGGTTGGCGAAAAAATTGGCTGAAGATTGAATTTTGAGACACAAATTTTCCAAAGTTTATCCACTCGATGGGAACAAAGGAAATCGTTTTGAAATTTGGTTCGACGATCGTTATTTTGCTAATTAATTAAATCATAAAACGTGACACATTTAGTACGGTAGAAAATTGATAATTAAAAGATTAATATTTAATTCTCAATGGTCGATCTTCAGCCCGTAATTCCACCCGCGACATATTATTTAACAACAGAATATTAACCACCTAATCGTCTTGGAGGATACTCGTATAATTCTCACCTTCGCCTCGCTTTCGTTTATACAATAAATGGATATCTTTTTTTTTTTTCGTTTTCACTTCCTCCCCTACGTGCTAAGTAATAAATCGTCGAGCCGCAAAATTCGTCACGAGCAAAAATCGTCGACCATCAATTGGTATTAATAAATCGATAGAAATCATCTAAGATTGATGCTTATCATCGATTCTTGTTCGTTCAGCTTAAAAAACATACGTCCAACAAACGGGCGCGATAATAAATTTTAATAATCCATAAAGTATCAATAAAATCGCTGTTCATGTGATCGTTAATAATACAATTGCAATTGCGATAACCGCAAATATTAATATCAATAATAATAATAACAGAGATAGTAATAGCGGTAGTAATAATATTTAGCGACCATAATAGTAATAATAAAATAAATTTCGTTTTACTAATTAGCATCGTCGTTACAATGATGTACTTCTTAGCCATTACACTTTTTTTTTGCCTATGTACTATTCTCTTCTTTTTATATACTTCTATACGTATAGCTACAATATATCATATTTTCATGTTGAAAAATCGTATACATTAGTGTTGTGTCGCAGGACCATTGCTTCGTTACTATTCCGTTTTCCGTTCGTTCCATTACTCGTTTATCGTTTCTTTCTTGTTTATTTTTTTTTCCATTTTAATTCTTACTGTCTTTTCGTTTCGATGGGTCGCTCTGAGAGGGAAAGAGGGTGTCGATGCATAGAAGCGTTCACGCTTGATTATCGAACAACGTCGAATTAAAAGAGAGAAAGAGAAGATCGAGATTGATAAGAAGAAAGGAAGTTGTTTCTTTCATTTTCCACGGACAAAAACAACTGCCCTTCCGTTCAACCCCTTGCCTTATTTATGATCTTTTTATCTCAAACTGTCTCTGTTAAATTTATGATTAGAGTTATGAATGATAATTAAACATTTTTCTTTGCCTAGGAATTGAACTATTATCAATTAGAATTTGGAAAAATGAAGCACGTGTGCGGTTGTGTAAGGCAAGAGGTAGTTTGGCGCAATATGGCAGTCGATCGTTGACGCTCAATCGGCAAGTCAGATATCTTCAACAAATTGATAGAGTAAAAATCCTTCGTAATTTGTTTGTCGATTATCTTTGCGCGTCGTTTGAGAACACGTGAACGCTTCTTCGCCGGATGAACGTATTACATAACATTAATAGCTTAATATCGATTTATAAGTTCGTATTACCCGCCGTTTTTAGGGGCGAGCCTCGGATCACAGATAGTGAGGTGATCGGATCGCGCGAGAGCATTCTGTTCACGGATACATCGTCATTCTTACATTATACATTTAATTGCATTTTTCCTACAAATCCTATTATTCGTTCTCGTTTTGCATTTCTTCGTTTAGCGATTCCTCTAAGTATTTCAAGGCGACAGCTCCTGAAAGCAAACAGTACCGGCCGTGTACGCAAACGTGATATCAGGATAGTCGCGCGTAAAAAAGACAATTTTTCTTTCTAGTTAACTTCAAATTTTTCTAAATTTTTCAAGAAAATCAAACATCTAAGTCTTTTACTTTTTTTTTTCATTATCTTTAGGAAATATCTTTTCTTGCCGACTATTCTCATGCACGCGTACGGTCGAAAACTTGGTCGCAACACGATCCTTACGTTCCTCTGCTCGGTTCTATATATTTTTTTTTTTTTTTTTTTTGCTAGCAAGTTATCATCGTGATGCTGGTATATACGAAAGTGATACAGAGATATACGAAAGTACAGAATATAGAGATCTTTATACACATGTATATAACGTATACACAATACATATGTACCTAAGTACGTACGACCAACTAAGGGTAGACAGGCGCAATCGTATACTTCCAGTGTCGAATCCAGTTGCGAATTTGAATAATTAGAATTTCTACTATGCTTAAGAAAATGACAAACTTTAATTTCTCACACAGACATTCCATGTTTTGTATACATATATGTTTGACGAACATTTTTACCGAGTATTCTGGATTCGACGCTGCGTGTGTGTCGGGTAAATGAAATCAAGAGAAACAAGAGAAAAAAAAAATGGCGTAAGGAGGAAGGAATTTTAATAAGATCTCGTGCTGAAACGCTTGTTTACAAAAATGAAAGAAAAAACGACGGGGAAACGTCTTTTGACTTTCTTTCTTTTTTCTCGATTCGCTCGTGGGTACAATCATGCATACAATTTTCCAACGTAACACAAAGAATAATGATGACTACCAGGAGAGCATTTCGCAACGAGGACACCTTGATAAATGGTAGAACGAACATCTCGATATTTATTAATACAGCACAGCTGTCGTATAATTCCTTTTTTTCGTTGCAAAAAAAAATGATGGTGTCCTCGCGTCAAAAACCGAAACGAAAGAAAAGTTAGCACGCAAAAATACGTTTCTGGGAAAACGCAATCTTAGTCGCAGAAAATATCAATTTGAAGCTTAAAACTCGGAACTTAAACCATAATCGAACGAAAGGAAACATTCGAGCTTGCATTACACCATATACGGTGCTGGGATCAGATTAAAAAGAATCGCTTAAAAGCGCTAATGCTGCCTAACGATTTTTAAAAAAACAGTAAAACTTTTTTACAGAGGTACCTCATCGTCAAGATATTAAAAAATAATAAAATGTATTTAACATTTGGATCCTTCAAATCCTAACCCAGCATATAAAAATTACGCTACGCAAGTACAAGTGGAAGGATATCGTGATGTTTGCAAAATCAAGTTGAGTGTATAAAAACAAAAGTCCCGAGAAAAATTCCGGATGGGAAAGTAAAGATAAAAGTATCTGTACAAGCTAATTTCTATTTACGTGTGCACGTGGTAAGGTCCAATAATTGTTTCATTATTTTCGAGCGACTGTTTAGATCAATGGAGTTAAAAATGTACTTTTATAAATCATATATATATATACCTCAAGCTTTTGGATCTTACCACGTCTCGGTTGTGTACGTGTGTATATATAGCATACGTAAACTAAAAAAAAAAAAATAAATGAACTAATTAATTGTATACGCTCTCACCCTTTCTCTCCTTAGCCAGGCGTCGGTACATCGCCGTATATTGTCTTAACAGAAGCGAACCTATGTTCATATAGAAATCCACGATTTGCCCTATCAATTACCATCCTTTCCATACACGCACTCTTTCTCTCGCTCTCCCTCTCTCTCATTCCAACCCTTTCTTTCTTCCAACCCTCTGTCGCTTTATTTTTAAATCCTCTGTGTGCAAATACACGTAACGTGGATGTCTGCGCATAGTCACTCGATAAGGCAAGATCAAAGTATCAAGATCGAAGGATGACGCGATCAAAGATGCGAATAGAAGTACTCGAAACTTTTCCAGCCGCGCGTTAGGAGAAATTTGATCATTTACTTGAATTTCACCAGATTTCTCGCATCTTTGACGCGGATATTCTTCTCTCTCGAACAAGAAAAAGAGAAAAAACGCTTCGAAATCGGAAACTAACGTTACAATTATCAACGAACGTTATTCTCCATTGGTGAATCGTGTCTCGTCGAAGGTGTGTATGTATATGTTTCTAAAGTACACTCTCCGCTTTGTATCTTTAATGAGTGATTTTGTCGCTTTCTCTCTCACTCTCTCTCTCTCTTTCTCTCGTTAGATTTCGTTATCATACTCTATTTCACTCATTGCAAACAGTAATTTTAGACACGCGGTCGTTTCTCATTTTCTCGGTCGGAATCAGAGTCCGCTGAATCGTGGAGCGGCGGAAATTCCGGTACCGCTTCGCGTTGTTGCATCCATCCCGCCGCGCCTGGCCCCCCAGCCAATGCCTTGCCCTGCGTCATTTTGTTTTTGTTTTGTTTTTGTTTGTTGTTGTCTTATTTTTTTTTTTTTTTTTTGTACTATTTTCAATTGATTTTTAGCCCTCTGTTTTTATCCCCTGCGGGTGGCCATAAAATTGCGTGTCATTGGTCACTAAAGCCTCGCCCTCATTTATTAAACTGATTTTCTTTTTTCTTTTTTTATCAGCATGGATGAAAGACTTTCTTTTTCTATCTCGAATACATACAGCGAGATACGTGAGAGGAAACGATTTTATATGAAAGCGCGGGTTGTTTGAATAGATTCTGCTCGCAACAGGGTCTCGTTATTTTGAAAGAATTCATATTTTTAAGTTTTAAAAAAAATTGACAAGAAATATTGGATGATCGTAAGAGGGTTAATATTGTATCTACCATCAGTCTTGTTTCTCTTGTTTAATTTCACGCTGATTCCTGTTACGAGCAAGAAAGGATACGTTTGTCTACGTGATGCGACAGATTCTAATCAAGATGATCGGGACTAAAAACAGAAAACAACACAGCGGAACTAGAGAGATCCTTTTCGTTCTAAATTTGCCAAATGCAAAGAACCGGCGCCTAATGCTACTGTCTACCGCGAACAATTCAGAATCTCTGGCAAAACGAACTAAATATGAAGTTTCAATCACCCAATCTCTAACATACCTTCTTTCTCACTCTTTTATCTCTGTTCACCCAAAATACCCCAGAGCCAGTCGACCCGCAAAAGATATTGGAAAAAAAAAAAAAAGAAAAGAAAAATTGATAACGATAAACGCACACACGTACTACTTTTGTAAACACCAGTATACACGTATAAAAACTGAAATAATTGTACATGCAATCATGCACGCCACGAAAACGTCTTTCGAACAGTATTTTCCATCGTCCCAAAGTGTGTGTACCAGAAAACGGCGTACAAATTTGTCTATGTAATATTTATACGAAATATATTGCACTATCGACAGTCGATCGATCTCCGTGAAAATGAAATAAGGCCGGAATAGATCGCGACTGCTGGCTCGATTCTACGAATCCTTTCGTCTTGAAGCTTCGAAACAGACCTGTGCTTGTTGCAACGGAGAATTATCCTAGCTCGTCTAATTTTCCTATCGAGCATCCTATGTGACACTCAAAACACTTTTCACACCTTCATTTACTCAGCGCTGCCCTCTCTAAATGGCAAGATTGATACCTCTCCAAGTGGCAAGTCGTTATCCCCGAAACACATTCTCGTCATTCTCTAATAATTTTATTTTATTAAATTCGTAACAACGGTTGCACAGTGAGCCAAGCAAGACAGTACACTGACCAGTGCCACTTAGAGAGGTAATACTGTACAGACAGGCTCGCTCGAGTCCGGTACGTCGAAGTCCAAGACGAGTCTACGATTGCGAGCTTTACTGTCCGGCATGGCGCGTCACTGTGAACACAACAGAAAGCACAAAAGGCCGAGATCAGTGTAACACGCCAGCAGCCGTAGTGTTTTTATTTATTTTTTTTTTTCAATTTTCATTATTTTCCGTTTTTCTTTTCCGCCAGGTGTTGTGTGTCCTATGATTCACGTCTTTTTACCTTTCCCTTTCTCCCTGTTCTTAATTTTTTCTTATAAACTTCCTTTTACTTACTCTCCCCCGCGTTCACTCACATTTTTCAACTCGCTATATTTTGCGTGAAGTCTGATTCGATGTCTCTCTCACTCTCTGTCGCCTTCTAAGAATTTCGTTTCATCTGCGCCAAGAGAAAAACTGAAGTGAATTCCAACGAGTTACGAATCTCGACACCATCCCCGGTTCGAACCGATCATCTCGCTCGATGCGCGTCTCGATCGTCCAGTATTCACTGATTAAAACATTTATCCGCGAGAGGAAATATGAGATTTCTTTGAAATTTCAAATGGATCGAGGAGGAAACGTTTCGGCATCGAGAGAAGATGGACGGTTCGTGAAAGGAATTATCGTGTACCCGGTCGAATCGTTAGGTGATGGAGAGTAGAAGAGACCAAGGAACAGACGACCAATCAATCGCAACAGTATTATACAAGATGGCAGACCGTGCGAACTGTGCTTGTAACAATACGCGATTGTCTTAGTGCGTTTTTATCAAAATCCAAGAACCCACGTTTACCTGCCGAGTAGTGGGTAGTATAGCTTCTCTCGAAATGCAATCTCACCGCGTATCTCCAGAATAAACTTTCACCTACCATTCTGCGATCTCTCGTACACAGATCACAGCACTGAATCGATTAACGTTAAACCTGTATTTCGAGAGAAGCTGATATCTACTGAAACAGACTCTAAAAGAGAAATTTACAACGCACTGTACAGCACAATTTATTGAAAAAACAAAATTCAACCATTTTTTTATCAGTAGATATCACCCGATGACGAAAAAAAGCAGGTGCAACTATGCGACTGCATAAAAAAACAATCTCTCGGGATTTAAAATCTTTTTTTCGTTTAAAAACATTGAACCAAATATATATATATATAAAAAAAAACACGATTGAAAATCGTGCAAGCACACGGTTAGACATTCCGCACCCCAAATTTTTGTTGCAACAAACACAGTTCTTTGCTTGGTTTGTTTTTTGTTTTGTTAGACTCGGAGCACCAACCAACAGCGATTAGAACGAGATTATACAGAGTGTTAAAAAATATCCTGAAGATCTCTACACCGCTGGATAGATCGCGAAAAATCGAAGCGAAAAGTTATGTAGCATTTTTCGATAGGATCAGTAGTTTAGCCACATTTCGTTGTTGAAAATTGAAAAATTGACCAATCAGCGGCGCGGCTCGTCGGCGGCAGAGGAGGCCACTCCCACTTGCCACTCAAGCTGCGCGCTGATTGGTCGATTTTATAATTTTCAACAACGAAATGTGGCTAAACTACTGATCCCATCGAAAAATGCTAAAGAACTTTTCTCTTCGATTTTTCGTGATCTATCCAGCGGTGTAGAATTCTTCAGGGTATTTTTTAACACCCTGTATACATATTAAAAAAAAAAGGAACAAATGGAACCACAGACAAGAAAGTAGTTAACTGGATTATGCTCGATCGAGCGAGCGCGTATTTTGTTAGGTCGATCGACGAGTAAGAAAGATCTTGGTGCTCGTATAATTGTGCGCAAGCGATCGCTATTCTTTTGTTACATATGCAATTACGGAAACGTTAGTGCCAGCTGTAGCAGCAAGAGCGTTCATCGTTGCCGGGAGATCGATTTCTTTTATTTAATCGTAAAGCATAAAACCGAGGTACTTTCATTCTACGCGTGTCCTAACATAATCCATCGTTAATAATGATTCTTTTGAAAGAGAATCGGAATATTTGCACAACCAAAATCCTGATGTGCCACGTTTGAAGAGCCTCGAAATTGTGGAGGAAACGCAAGCATTCGATTTGGACGTTTAAAAGTAACGAGAAAGCAGCGAGGAATAGCCAAGTGCCGATAGAACCGAACGAAACGAAGGTAGAAAACGAAACAGGAGCAAGGGTGATTCGAAAAGGCGGCAACCGAGAAGGTGTATGCATTTTAGTCGCTTCATTTCGAGCTGGTTCTCGCCCTCTTGGGACTGAAGAACCCGTGGCCAAGCCGGATGAACCGTGAAATTAATTTTCTTGCAAACTTCTTCTCTGCGACTCGAATGTCAGAAGAACGCGGTGCACGAGACGCGAAAATAAGAAAGCATGGCTCTTGAGACAGACTACTTTCAAGCCTGATCATTCTCCTCGTTTCATTCAAAGAATCAATACAGATTTGCAGGGAATATACCATCAGATAATGTTTGCAACAATGTATAATCGAGAACAGATGGGTTGTATCGACAACGGGGACATTTAATTCGCCAACCAATTGGGTGTATCTGCAAATTTCCGAGCTAACAAAACGGATTTCTCTTGTTTGCGCGCGAATTTAATTCAACGTCACTCTTTATTCACGTGACACAGTCGAAATTGCATGTCAGAAAGATTTGCTGGATTTCGAAGAGCCGAATACGATACGACGATACACGCGTTTCGTTCCCTTTGTTTTATGGGGAAGAGAAAAACCGCGAAAATAGAAATTAAACATAAATCGTCGATGCGTTCGATTGCATCGTTTCGTGGAACAATTTTAATTATTTGTCAAATCGAGTTTACTACGAAGACAAAATGAAAAAGAATCTACCGGAACAAGTCTAATCTTCGAAATCAAGGAAAATTATGATGATTCTACTTGTATGTACGTCGGATACAAGGAAATTCGATATCCGCTACGAGATGTTGTCCCATTGCGCTTCATCGGCCGAATAGAGGCAACTCGTTAGAACCACGGCCACACACCTACCAACTCCATTAATATGTGAGGGAGCAGAGCCCTACCTAAAAAGTGACTTAGCAACTCCAATGCATACTAAGCAACCCTTATGGTACTAGCTGCTTTGCTGGCCCCGCGTGTGCACTCTCTCTCTTCGAACTTTCTACTATCGGCTCCCTCCGAGTCCATCTTTATGGACCAGCAACAGCAGCCTATCTAACCCAATCTTACACGTTCTAAGAACACCGATCTACGTTACTCGCTCATGCGACCTCTAACTCCCGTACAAAGTGTTCAAATTGCTGACAGTATATGGAAAGACGATTTCTAACACAGTGCGATATTGGAAAGTTGACATACGGAAAGGAATACGGGTCTGTGATATATCAAAGATGAAGACAAGTGATCGTTCTCCACAACTTCCAGCTCTGCACTTAACAATGAACGTATAAACTGTATTCGTCTGTTCGTTTCCTCATTTGTGAATCTGAATCACTCCGCATAAGAGCTCGGGCTCAAATGAAATTTCACGGCATAAATCCACCACCTCCACCGTTCATTCTCCATCTCGCTTCTCGACTTCCTCTCATTTCAATCTCTCATTCTCTCTCCGCCATCCAAACATCCTTTTTCACGATATGTGTGAATATGCGGTGAGATGCGCATGCGTTTATGAAGATGCAATGGCACGATTTGACGAATGAATGGAAATCGAAGTTGGTAGACTAGAGGGTTGCCTCAAGGGAATCGAGACACCATGGTGATATATCCTTCGTTCCATTCATTCGAATCAAAGAAAGTCCTTCGGAAGCGTCATCAAGGGTTACTTGGTATATAAACAGCACATGCTCGGGTGAATGCAAGAAGAAGGCGTCGAAGAAAGCGAGGCAAATGATCGCTGACTACGGGGAAATCGATTCACGGGGAAAGAGAAGGTTTGACATTTACCTGGTGCATCGGGTCGTAACCCATCGAGCCGTCGTTGTACGGTTGCGAGCCATAATCGCTACCGTTTATACCCATCCCGTATCCGGCCATGTCTTGCGGCCCACCAGGAGGCGCTGGCGACATCATCGGCGTCGGTGTGCCCTGGCTGGCACCACCCATACTGTACGGCGATGCTCCTGCAAAAGCTGCTGTAGAAACAATCGCGGTGCATACAAAATTCGAGGGTGCGTCTTTAAAGTTCTTACGCCTCACCGACACGTTTTTCTTTAACTTAAAGCGTTTGAGCTCGTTTCTAATTGCCTTCCGTTTAATCAGTGGGAGACTCTGAATTGCAGAGTTGAAACGTTTTTACTATAGGTACAGCCGCGTAAATAGATGATACCTTTGATACTCGTCAGGCTCACTTTAGCAGAAAAGCACCAGTGAATCAGACGAGCAATCTATGCACGCGGCTGTACAAATCGTAAGAAGAAATTTTAATAAATTTCAATAAACGCCACTGATTACCTAGATTGACAAATATATCGTTAAATTGTGTCTGATGTTCGACAAGAATTACTAATCCATATACGGATGAAAGCGAATGATTTCTAACTTGACATTAAACGGAATCAGTAGTTTCAAGGATGGCAAAGTAGCCTGGAAATTAGTTCTCACGTAGCTCGAGCAATTTTTATTCCGAAACGCGAAAACATTTGCACCATCGTCCAAAGGGAAGCAGTATCGTTGGAATTCCGTTTCTTTAATTACGAGAGCAGCCAGGACAAGTGGCTGAGAAAAGACAAACAAACGAAGGGCGTCGAAAGAAACTCGAGAACGGCTCTCTCCTATTCTCTTCTCGTCTTTCCTTTACCCTTTTTTTTTCTCCGTATAATTGGTAAGTTAAAAATATCTCGCCTCGCTGTCTGAAATAAAGTGACGCCTCGGTAGTTAAGGGCAGTATGCGTAATTGCGACCAGGCAACTCTTGCGAATGCGAAAAATTTCACGGAGGAAACGGACAGAATTTTTCTTCTAATTTTCGCGAGAACGCGATAAGGTAAACACTCTTAAAGAAACGAAAACAGACGAACACACTGTCGTTCGTCTTGTTTTACATTAGCGCACTCAGAAGATTGTTTAAATAAACCATCGCGAGTCCAATTTACAAACTACCAGCAATTTTCAACACACGTAAAGGAGAAACAGAAATTTCCAATCGATAATTTCGTTTCCTTTTGAAAGATTTATTGGTCAGACGCAATAACGCTGGCACAGCCAGCTCGAACAATGAGCAGTAACTCAATCACCCAATGATTTATATTAATGAGAAACGGCTAGACTCTGCAATTTCGTCTTTGGTCTAATTTCAAGTATGTTGCAGCAATTATTTCATGACGAAATAGCCGTAAAAGTTAAAAGATAAAAAAAGATCAAGTCTTTCATCCGTTGGAATTTAATTAAGAAATTTATTAATTTTTTTTTTTTAAACTTTAAAACGTGTGTTCTTAATTCGATCAAGTTATCGAAACGAACTCTTCAAGGAACACCCGTCGTTCGTTTGCGAAGGACGGAACTTACCAGCTGCCTTTTTGGCTGCGTACAAGTTCGCCTCCTCCTGTGCTTTACCTATGTTTTTCTTGTAGCGTATCCTCTTGTTGCCGAACCAATTGGAAACCTGCAAAGAAGCACAACAAACGACCGTGCCGTATCACTGACGATTCGTCATCTTTCAACTAACCGATCTATTAGCGAAACAATGAAATCAAAATCACGATTCTGCTGACGTACTCGTGAATTTTATTACACGATGAAAAGGATTAATTCCGGCTAGAAACGACGTAATGATAATTTCACTCTGACTTACCTGACTCACGGTGATTCCGCATTTTCGCGCGAGCTCTTCCTTGGCCTCTTCGCTCGGATAAGGATTACTGAGGTGCGAATAAAAGTACTCGTTCAGGATTTCGGAGGCTTGTTTGCTGAAGTTTCGTCTTTTACGCCTGGAACAGAAAAAGAAAACATTTCCCTCCTTTCGCGTCGAACAACTCGCTCCACTCTCCCTCTGTCTCTGCCTTATCTTGAAAGAATACGCACCTCGCGTCAAGGAATCGACTCCTAAGAATCATCACGGCCTCGCAGGTGGATTGCTTCAATTGCATCTGAATGCTCGAGAACTTTTTGTGAATTATCTGAACCATCCTCTCGATCTCCTTCGGTGTAATCGGCCTGGTACGACTTTGTTCCCTTAGTAAATTCATCACGTGGGTGGTGAATTCGTTGCACGCCTGAAAACAAAGCGTTAATTATGAAGACAGGATGAAACGAAACACGTTTTTTACACAAACTTTCATCGCGAATCAATAAACCTGCCGCGTGATAGCAATTTATTCTAAAAAAATGAAGCTTCATCCTTAATGGATTAAAATTTCTGTACACGTTGAAAACTCGTCGATCGTTCGACGCCTCGGAGAAGCAAGAACGAAACCGCGAAAGGAAAAGGGGACAGGAAACGAGAAAAAAGGAAAGAGAAAGATGGTGGAGATAGAAAGGCAGAGCAGAGAGGGAGAAGAAAGAGGCGTACGTATAATGCATTATTCCTGGTGGCTGCTCGGTTTAAGGGAAAAAGGACTTTGCTCGATATCAGTATTCGAGGCGAGCACGCTACCTTCCGGAGGGAGCGAAGAAAGGGACAACCCAAGTGTATGGGAGAGAAAGGAATATGGCAAAGGGTGTGTGAGAGAGAGAGATAGGAGAAGCGACGGGGACCGGGTGAGGGTGGATTTTCCTGAGGGAAGGTGGTAGAAGGAAGAGGTCGGACAGGGTGGCTCGCAATTTCGAAATGGATTCCACTCTGCCGTCGTGCCCACCCACTACCCTTCTTCTATCCAACCTCCCGTTTCTCTTCTTCTTCTACTTCTTCTTCCTTTCTCTTCTATTACTCTCTTTGCACGAAAAGCATAGCTGACTGGCTAGGGTGGATCAGCTTCTCGATAGAAGGAGAGGAGAGTGCTCGGGACGATCTCGAGTAGGTGGATTGGATGGAAAACCCATCGAGAATTATGCCTCTCTCTGAGTTGCTGTTTTCTCCAATTTCAAAATTATCGCGAGAACAAATATGATACGTTATTTTGATATTTCTACGATCGGTCTGTGTATAATGAAACTGGAATAACAGGACTCCATCTACCTCGAAATCGAACGGACACTGTCAGAGCGAGGATGGTTAAAATCTGTAGTGAAAATCAGTCGAAATAAAGGCGAGCATGCATCGGTAAAATTCATGCCAGACGATGGTTGCTGCCGGTGATCACGCGATCTCGTAAAACTCGCCGCGGTTCTATTCTCGTACTTGTCACGCCATTCTGCATAGTCAGGCAGACGTTCACCCTAATGCACTCACTCTACGGTAAGTTTGAATAGTAAATTTTGGTTATGATAAAACTTTTCCCTCGCGACGGTATCAACCGTAATAACGTTACTTTTAAGCACGGCAATACATGAACCACGAGACTCAAAACACTGTATTACCCAGCCTCGCCAAAACTGCTCGAACAGCGTCCATTGCTCGTTTAAATAATAATCGTGACAATAATAAGAACAGAATTATATTTGAAAAAGAAAAACAATTCCCGATGGCAGGATTTCAGATTTCAGAATAATTCTTTCGTAACGGAAAAGAAAAAGAGCACGGGGTTAAAACTTGTTAATGACTAGGTTTATCGATAGGGCGTCAACTACCCCCTAGGTGACTGCAGTTGCACCGACGCGTTACCACGCGAACGCATACATCTCCCCGCGTAGCAACATCCTCCATATTGTTGCGTCTACAAAGAATTCAACACGCATCCGTGTACACACCGTTGGTGCACGAAAGGCAACAGTGTGCGTATTTACTGCGGGGAAACATCAAGACCGCTGACACACGGTGAAATATGGGGTCGAAACGGGTGTGGCAATTAAAACACCCTCTCTGTCTCTGTTTCTCTCTCTCTCTCTCGACTGGTACCGCGCGCGGGAGTACGCGCAAATATACGAGGCATTGCGAGAATGACGGGCCACCAACGGTTGTTTGTAAAGTATGCAAAAGAGAGAAAATACAAGGCACTAGAAGCGTTAAAAAGAATTATGCTTTTATCGTTGATAGGTGAGCCGTGGATGAAAAGAGAGATCTCGTGAGCGTTGCACTCGGCGTCCTACCTTTTTATTATTTCTACAATGATTAAATTAGCCCAAAATTTACAACGGAAAGTATTTTCAATACTCCTTATCCATCATCTGTGCTTCGAGTCATATTTTTTTAACCCACCTCTACGCAACAGACCGATAAGGAACCAGTTAAGACTTAGAACAACAGCGAAACGAGAATCGTCGGTGTTCAATGATTTGCGTGTTAACGAACCGACCAGCTAGCCGTTAAGTAAAATCTCCCGTGTCCAGCAAGCTGACCGATGTACCGCGAGTTACGGATCTGTTTAACATCGGCACAACTTTTATAAACTTTAAAAGAAATTGGAAGGAAAAAGATTGGTTCTCGACGAACCTGTTCGTATTTCTCCAACTCTTGATGGTAGATCTGCCTGATCTGCGCGAGCTTGGCTCTATAATCTGAATGCTCGATAGCATTGTCAGGTTGTCCAGGTGGACCAGCCGCTGCAGCCGCGGACGCGGACGCTGCCGCACCCGCACCGCCACCCTTCTCCGGTCCGGCGACACCCTCTGCGATCAACATGTTGTCCAGCCTCATTAGTTGTGGATCCGGTGGTTCCTCTTCTTGAGTGTTCCGTAACGACAGCACTGCAACGATAAAAATGACACGAATGTTAGATAAATCCTGACATGGAATTGGCATGGAATGTAGATCATTCAGGGAAGAAATTGAAATCATTAGAAGAATTCGCAAGGCAGTTTGCACGAGTTTCCCCTCGGTGTGCTTAGTCGCGCTTGTACGCGTCGCTTGTACGTGAAAAGGGTGAAAACCGTGGAGGATAGGGTTGCTGCATCTTTCTGGGCGAACTGTCACACGAGGTGAATGCGAGAAAGAAAGAATAAAAGAGAAGAAGAAAGTCACCCCCCCCCCCGTTCTGTGGTTTTATAGCTCGTCCAGCTCCATCATGCGCCGTAAAAGTATAATAAAACCCACTGTTACACCGTGAAAACGCAGCCCGTTCTAAAACACTGCGTGCACATCGGTCTTTAAGAAAAAGGGAACGAAAGGGTCTGGTATAGAGAGGGATAAAGAGAAGATCGAAGTAAAATTGATTCTTTTATGATAGGTAAAACGCGCGACTTTCTCGACCTCTTCTCTTTCGTCGATTTCAACTTGAACGTGAGATTTAACTGGAACTTAGCTGAAATACTGATATAACTGGTACAAAAAGAAGAAAAGGTTCGTTCAATAAAAAGCACAACGCTTTAAATGTCGCGTTAACTAAAGTCAGTGGAGAAATATCGCCATACTTTACGAAATGAGCCGCGTAACGTTTCCACCCTGCGTATTCCCTGGCTGAGATTTGAGGATTGAATTAATCACATTTGCGGTCATTCGAGCCGTAATTTAAATTCGTTAGGACTTTCTCTTCTTTTTTCATCTCCGCCCTGTACTTTCCTACTGCGGTGGAAAAAAAAAGACGCCTCTAGAGACAGAGGAAAAGAGAAGGAAAGAGAAGAAGGGCGTGAAAGTTTGCTGGGATTCGCGGGAGCGTGAAACGAATGCGCGGAACTAATGCATTTATACGAAGTGTAACAATTAGGGTTGCAATCCCGACGAAGGGGTTGGAGCATCAAATTCCTCGGGGGACTCGAGTGGAAAGGGGTGAAGACGCAAAGTCGATCGCTGGGGAACAGTTTCTTTGAAAAAGATGTCACGCTTCCCGGTCTAACTCTCTCGGTGCCTGCCTATTTGTTAATGAATCTTTCTCTTATTCGCATGGGGACTGTTTAAAAAGGAGAAAGATAAAAGAGTTTAGTTTCCCTTCGTTTTCGAAATCCAGAGAAAGACGCAGGATACCCTAGTTTCGTACCACTCTACTGACCGATTAAATGATTCAAGTAAGAAAAAGGAATGAAATGAATGTTTGCAAGATAAAATCAAGAAAGATATCTGGAAGATACGCGGTTTTTAGCGTTGAAGAGCGACTTAAGGGGCAAGTTAACAGCAGTCAGAAGGGTGCTGTTAAAACTTTGGTGCCAGTTGATACAGCTACACCGAGAACTTTTCACGCCGATGTAATTAAAAATGAAAAACCTTCGGCAGAGAAGCAACGAAATAAAACGTACGTTTACGACGATGCCATTGAAAGTTAAAAGACCGTGAAAGCCATCCTTTGCCCGTTTTGGTCTCTCTAATAGTTTTAAAAGCCGAAACCCTTCTATCTTTCAAAAATCCATCACATTTATAAAAAAAACGACTAGCCAGAGCGACGATTCTTGAAAACTCGTGTCGGTCGTAAAGTAAGAAGCCAGAGAAACCACGAAACATAAATGAAGCGTTGGAGAGCAAAATTATTTTCGGCTATCGAGCGGGAAGAAAGTAATCGGGGGTAGCTTACGGGCAATAATCTGGCTATTAAGGGGTGTAAGGGGAGGTCCTTGGTACCGTGTTGGTAAGGCACAGGGACTGCTAACCTCCTGCGGGGGTCCTTACAAGCACGTAAACTCAGTTTTACTAGCAGTTAACATTTTACGACTCCGACGGTCTGCCTCTACCTCCTCTGCTTCTCTTTCACCCTCTCTCTTCAACGAACGTACAATCCTTCCTGCTTCTTCCTTTCTCTCGTTGCTTAGCTTCCTGTCGTACCACGAGTATTCCGTCACACCGGTTTCGTGTGAAACACCCTACACCGGCTATACGAACATACACCACCCGCGACAACGTAACAACAGTCGTCGTTTTCGAGGCTCGTTACCGGGCGAACTACATTAATATGACACCCCGTTGAAGATCGAGCTAATTGCTTGGCTAATTCGTTCTCTGGTTATAATTTCATAACGAGCAAGATACATCACATCTACCGTTTAAAGTAATAATGGAGAAATGTTTGCTATTTTTTTTCGTACGAGAGACAGATGGATCACATTTTGGAGTTAAAATTTAACTGACAAATATTTCATTGTAATATTGATTAAAAGAAACGAACGAGCTGGACGACGCGATTTAAACAAACGATCCTAAAATATGCAAAAGGGATTGAGTATCCTATAGAGGCGAAAGAAGGAGAACGCGAGAGGGAGGAGAAAATCGAAAATCCCTCGACGAAACAACCCTTGGGATAATTTAGATTCGCGAAGCGGAGGCGACCGAGCGGTGGGAGGTGGTGGAACGCCGCTGGTGTGTATTGATCTAAACGGGAACCCGTGAAAGCAATTAAGATAAGGCACGGTAACAAAGGGTTGTCGGCTGCTACCCCGCTTTTCACCGTAGGAAAACAGAATGAGAGAAACGAGAAGAATAGAAAGAGCCGCAAACTGGTTGCAAGCAGATACGCAATGGAAAAAGAGAGCGGAGGTTTCGAATTGCCAGAAAAGATCAAAAAGCATCCCCGAACGTCGCTTTATTCTATGTATTTTTTACTTTCCTCGAATTCTTCAAATATTCCACAAGTGGAACATTTATTTATATTTATTTCTTTCGTCAAGAAATAAGCTTAGGGTGAATTCGTATCCTGACCCAGTTCAAAGGTCCTTTGAATCCTCGTTTCGCACCCAAAGGGAATCGATTCCCAAAATCCATTCAATTTTTTTCTCTCCCTCTCGACGTTTTCCTCGCTGGCAACCCTAATAAGGTCCAGATGTAAGACGGTGAGAACAGAAGAGGGGTAGAAGGAAGGTGGGAATGGCTGCTCTTTTAATTCGAGGGTGGATCCCGTAGGGTGAAACTTGCACGTAGGCACAAAGGAGAAGCAAAAGTAGAAGACGAAGAAGAAGAAGAAGGCTGAGCGTTACCCAAGGGATCCGATATCGACACCATTCTGTAAGAATATCCGGCCTCTTCTCTGATTTACGAACGAAATCGAGACACAAGGCGTATTTCTGAGTTGCTGATATCGTGTTTCGCTTCGTTACGAACGCTGGTTCTACCTGGCTGCTTTCAAGAAAGGAAAAATCATCGCGAGTCAGGTATTATCGAATTGTTAGATCCTCCGGGGAAGACGATCTTGCACTCCGAACCCTTTATCCAACCATTTCTTTTGCGTCGTGTTTAATGTATTCTGAATACTAACAAAAGCATTAACCCCTTGACATACAAATAAAATAGAATTCAATGCGTCCGAAAAATACTATTTAATTTAGCTCAAACCGGAGACGTCAAAGTCTAAAATGGCACATGAAATGAATGACGTCTCCCAGACGTCATTGTATGTCAAGGGGTTAAAGGGGTAAAATTTAGATACACGAAGGGCAAATCTTGGCCGAGTTGGAAAATTCTTTGAAGAAATAGTAACGAACGTTTCAACGTTTCGAGATAGAAGGGTGGGTCGCGGTTCCGGTTTGGAAGCCAGGTTTTCCCTGGTCGTTTCCCGTTCCTCCCGAGCCAGAACTTTTCCACGATTTCTTTCGCGCTTCGGCAATTCAGAGCTTCCGTTTCCGAAAAAGAATTTCTCGCGCTCTTCGCGATGTTTTTCCACCGTCGACACGCTCCCTTTTTTCTCTCACCCTAACCCACCCACCCCTTGCCCTTTCTTTATCGCGTCCAGGCGGTCGGGTCGTTTTCTATCCAGAGTTCCGCGCGAGCATCGAATTCGCTCGACCGTATCTTCGCCGCGTTCCACTCCTTTCTGCTTTTATTATTTTCTTCCTTTCTCCAGCCACTTCCGGCGCGGCAATGGCACTCTGGCCCCTTTCCCGCGCGTCGCCCACACCAGCTTTTCCAACCGCCGTAAATCAAAACTGGACACCGAAAACGCGGTCAAAGGTATGGTACGCGTTCGGTTCTATGTACCGGGTGTCGACAACGTTCAAAGTTCTTGAAACGTTTGAAAATGCGAAAAAGGAATATCGCCTTGCAACGGAACAGGAGGAAGCAATGAAAAAAAAAAAAAGATGAACAACGTGGAAGAAACATAGAATATTCGCCGGTGGTGGTGTCGGAAGGAAAGAGGGTGGAAGCATCGGCGGCCGTGGCTGTGGGGGTCGAATAAAATTTTACGGCCGCGAAATCGTCCAATAATTGTTACGGCTCGCTTTGATCGCGTAAAACACGTCGTAAATGTCGAAAGGGACGACCCCCTGGCCGACAGGAATTACTCTTAACCCCCTTACGGGGTATTATGCCGCATTACCGACGCTGCTGCGTTTGCGTCTGCACGCTTATACCCTCACCCCCTATCTCTCTACTAGCTTCCTTTGTGTATCCCTTCGAAAATCTTATCCTTCGACTGAAACTGACAGCTTGGTCAGATCCGCACCCCATAAAGTCGCTAAAGGGTGCAATATCTTTCGTTCTATAATAAATCTCGTTCAACGTCAGCGATTCTCAATTAGATCTTATAATTAACTGTCTCTAAAACGACGCCTTTTATCCTGCTATTTAAAGATCAACCCTTATCCTATCGAAACGAGTTCGGTCGTTATGTTTCATCAACTCTTAAATTGCGTCGTCGATTACACAACACCCTGTAGGTAGATCTATGCGAGTGCTTTCCATGCTCGCGTTCGTGTACATACGTGTGAGAGTTGCACGAGTACTCGAGCGTGTCTAAGCGGGTTCGAACGCGCGCGTGTACGTAGCACGTCGAGTACCATACCATGCCTAGACCATTTCGCAGCATTCCTGCCATTCTAACATCCGCGTTTCA